ACGGTTTCAGTGGTATTGGTTGTTTCAGTTGTAGGAAAATCCTGCAAAAATAATATGTTAATATTAGATAATAAATGTAATTAAGTAATTAGACATAATAAGTTGGGTCTATAAATAATATGATTATAACAAAGTTCCCAAAAGTGCAATACGTACTGACAAAATTGAAATGTGTGTTACATATTATTATACAATTGAAATGTAACACATAAAAACAAAACAATGTTTATAAAAAAGGGTTGGAAGTTGATTGATAAAAGAAATCTCTTAAGTATACTCTGGCAAAACAATATCGGTATATAGTATTTCATTATACCTACCTATTATTATCATTTTACATATTTTTATTCTATAGTGTTACAGTAGGTGTTGACATATTATTATAATTGCACTATGGCCTTGATATGAAATATTCTTTTTAATCATTCTCTACCAATATTTACTTACTTCTTTGCAGGTATTGGTCTCATATTTATTAACAGTATAAGGCATAAGTATAATTTAACTGTATATCATATTTTTTAATTTAGGATAACAACAACTAAGATAAATTAATAGCAATAATGTATATTACCACTATTTTATATTTATCATTTTGCCACGGTATGGTCATGAAATAGACTGTAAAAAATCTGGGTGCGTACATCAATCTCACCTATTTCAGCCGCCAAGAAGGTTGCTTTGTAAGCTGAGCTTTGGTTGTAAGATGCGATTGTAAACAATGAAATTATAGATAAGAACCATAACATATTAGCCCTCTGAAAATAATGATAACGCAGGAATGGTATCATAGATATCACATTATAACGTATCCGTAGTACTGTCCATGTATATAGGAGACGATTGCCTACCATCAGGTACATCATTTAAATTACTTAAAACCTAACTTTTTCATCAGTTCTCACCGTCACATTGCCATCAGCAGTATTCTGAAAATTATTTTTTTCATTTAGATAAAGGCATTTTTAAATAAAGAAAACCTCAATAGCACAGATGGAGTCATTAGAACTGCTCTATTGAAAGAATTTACTTTTATTCGATAGAATTAGTAATTACCGCATTAGTAGTTGATTCCTGAAATTATTTAAATTATAATTATAATTATTGATAGTAATTTATGCTTTTAAATAATAAAAATTATTGTCTACCGTATTAGCTCCTGGTATCTGAAAATTTTACAATTTATACAAATTTCAAATTCGTGGACTAGCACCACGTTTGATTTTATTTAATTTTTATTTTAATCATGAACTTGTAGTATTTAATAATTGTAATTGCGTAGATAAAGTATAACGAAGATATAATATATTTTTGGTATTACAAAAAAAAACATTTAAGTACCGTGTTGATTTCTGGATCCTGAAAAAATTATAGAAAAATAGTAATAAATTAATTAACAACCGTTTTATAATCATGTAAACGCGAACTTTCAAATTAAGTTCAATGTACTGATTAGTTTTATTAATATATCGAATAAATATGATAAAAACAGTTTTGTGTTGAAATTTTAATATGTAGATATATATATTCGGGATATCAAATGTCCGTAGTAGGTATATCTATAATAGTATACAGTATACCTTTTATTACGATATTAGTAAATAATTACCGGACTAGTCTCTGGATCCTGAAAAAAAAAAACATTTCAGCGATTTATTGCGAAGACTACTAGCTATTTTACTGTTATATTAATCCAGAGATAACTATATGAAAATCATCATCATCTGCTTCCTTATCCCCTTTTATTTGACTTTATCTTCCATTCATCCCTGTTCACATCACCTCAACTATATGAAAATAATATATTCATAAAAATTAAAATAATATTAACAACTCTAGGCAATTTACACAGCGCCATCAAGTCCCAAACAAAGCAGAATGTGTGGGATGAGAAATAGACAACTGATACAAAAACTATAATACTTCTTTTTGGTTAATACATAGGTACATATATCTATGTACTGTTGAAGTGACCATTGAAATGTAAAGAAATGTTAAAGAGAGCAATAATTACTTAAAGGTATTAAGGACGATTAGATATATGTAGATTTGAAAATCCAGAAATTGAACCAATTAAAAATATAAAGCGAAATAGAAAGCTTTCCATTTCTTATAATACAAATATATAGAATTCGTCTAAAATAAACACTGTATCAAAATCGTAAATAAACGCGTGTACATGTATTACACATATAAACCTTCATATTGGATCACTCTAGCTGTTGCTAAAAACTGCATTAAAATGCATTGCGTAATTTAAAAGGTCTAAGCGAACAGACAGCGGAAGCGACTACATTTTACACTATATAATTAACAAATGAACGTTATAAATTCACAAAACATTATTATATATTTTGTTGTCTATTGTGAAGAAGTATATAAGATATACATATATATCTTATGTTAAAGTAAAATTAGTTTAGTAATTACCGCATTAGCCTCTTGACCCTGAAATTTTATCATTACTTTGGTTTAAGTAATTAAGTATAATAATAACCCTGGACAATTCACAGCGCTGTCTAATCCCAAGGTAAGTAGAGCTTGTTTTATGGGTACTAAACATCTGATACAATTACTTAAGTAAATACACCACAGACCATCATGCCCGTATATAAACAAATTCTTAGATAATATAATCATATGTTAAATGAAAATATTTGTAATAATTAGCAAGTTAACAAATACTTACCGTAGTGTCAACCTGAAAGTTTTAACTAAATAATATTTATAGGTCGTATACATAATATCCAGAGTTTCATTACTTTATATATCATAACAAAAAATGTTGATCGCGGCAACGTTGTTGCGAGCAACTTTACCTACTATTATATAGTCATTGAATTCTTTATATTATTCTATATATTCCGACTTGAACTAACAATTATTTTTTCTTTATGCAACGATGGTGGCAAACAAGCAAACGGCCCATCTGATGGTAAATGGTAACCGCAGCCTATGGACGCCTGAGACACCAGGGGTATCACGTGTGCGTTCCCCACCTTTAAGAAATCTTAATATACTCTTCTTGAAAAACCCCATGCTGTCGTCTCTCGAGAAAACCTTGGCAGGTAGCTTCTTCCATAATTTAAGTGTACGCAGGAGGAAGCTCCTCTGCAACCGCACTCTCTAAGGTTTCAGCGTGTGGGGATTGAATCGAGAGTAAAAGCAAGCATTCATTAAAAGTATTCATTGAACTTTATGCATCACTGTCATACAAATATTATATAAAAAAAATACTGGTATTGTTATTTCTATCATGTCTCTTACCAAGATATTTTTATTCACCACCAAAGTCAGTTGCAATCTAAATTTCGGTTGACATATAATAATAATAACCCAGGATAGTTCGCACAGCGCTATCTAATCCCAAGTAATAGCAGAGTTTCTGTTATGGGTATTATACAACTTATAGAAATATTTGAATAGCCCATCACGGCTATTCATTTCGGTTCATTAGGTATAGATTTATCAGATTTTTATTTATTTGCCCTTTAGTTCACATTTAGCTCGTCAGTTACAAAATTATAAGACAATAATGGGTAAACATTAAGATAAATTTTAATTTAACTTTGAGATGTATTAACTAATGTGATAAAATATATTATTAAAAAAAATGCCGATTCTAAATTGGTAAATAGGTCGATACATCATTCTGCAATTGAAGATTCAATTGCAGTCGCTGCTTAATATATTTTGCTAGTCTTTTTTTTGTATAACAAGTATGTCTTTATTTCTTGTATTATATTATACGTGTATATTTTGATGTGAATAATGTGTTTCTCTCTATTTAGAGATAATTAAATTATTGTAAAATATTTATACTCACCGCTGATGAAATATATATTACGGCTAAGATGAGAATGAGTATAAAAACACATTTTATATTTTGCATTATAGCAATAATACGTTCAGAGGGCGTATTGGAAATGAGAAAACCTATGTATTATTTGATATCGTTTTATGTGTTTTATACGCAATAACAGGCCGGTAGATATTAAAATTTACAAACTTGTATTATATTAAAATTTTATTCATTTGTAGTTGTGTTCCAGTTGAAATGTACATGTATATAGGAGACTATTGCCAATTATCATTATATAGGCCGTCACCTTGATGCAATTTCCGATATACAAAATAGTCATACACTATATAGGATGATTTTACATAATAATATTATTATAATGAAAGAAGTGGAAAAATGATATATATAATAATCGCCCGTATCAATGCCGTATATAAAATTAATTATTTTTATTAGGTATTTTACTTTGTTTGAAAATAAAAAAAAGAACGAATTGAGAAAATTTATAGAGTAATTATAAAGTTTTAGTAAAGATATCATATCAATTTATGTTTGTTTATTAATGAACGACGACCCCAAACTTCTGTCTCTTAGCGTTCTTGAATAAACTATTTTAGAAATTAGGAAGACTAATAAAGAGCAAATTAACATTTCAAAGTATTGTTTTTAAGATTATATATCTATCTATATAATTCAGGAATCAAAATGTATATCCGACTTTTAATTTCTTAGAGCCAGAACCCCAAAGACCCCACTTTTACGCCAAAAAATGTGAAATGCCTCTTAATATTACTCAGGCTTTATTAAAGGCTAAAGTGTTCATTTGATACTTAATCATGTTGCACATTTGACCGGTTAATATAATGCCTGTATGTAATGACGCCGTATAATACGACATTAATATATATAGGCGGTATATAATTATAGTCAAATATAGAATAACTTTGAGTAACATACTATACAATCTCACTTTATTCCTAACCCAGTACTTGCGATAGGTGATGATTGTCGTTTACTTCTACCGGTTGGTTCGGGATATCGAGAATTGATGGTTCTTGCATGTAGAATTCTGGGTTCTATTCATATTATAGTACCCTGACACAAACTGATCTCACGTTTCCAGTGCTTTTCAAATATGAGCCATAAAATCTTAATATAAGACAATTATTACTTTAAGACTATAAAATGATTAAATATTTTTTTTGTACCAACACACTATAATTTCATTTAAAAGAGCAATACTAAACACAGTGTAAAATATATATATGTACATATATTTGCAACTCTATATAGATTAAACAACAAAAATCATTTTGCCTCTTCTGTCTTCTCTTGGTATGTGACAATACCTTTTGCTATTAAGTCTGGAATTTCAACAGCAAGCCATGGTCCAAGCTGAAACAAAAATTATAAATAAGAAAATATCGTTATGACTGCAAAAATGAAAGTAAATGAAATTTTTTTATTGTTTTCCTCAGAGAATACAAACAAACATTTATATACACAATTAATATATAAATATGATCAAACAATAATATCAATGTTAAGTGAAATATGTTTTTACAATAAAAATATGGCACTATAGTAGCAACTTATTGTTTTCAAACACAAGTTGCTACTAATGTGCATGGAGTGTTGAGTATTCACCTTACATAATTACTAAAAATCCCAGCTGAATTCATTATGAGCGACTTAGCTTACTTCATGCTAATCCTTTCAACTTCGAATGTCATAATCTTGTGTATAATGACTGCATAGTGTAAAAGTAGGCCATAAGATGATGCCCAGGCCCAATTGTGGGATAATATTAATGTTGTCAATTAGATAAATAGGAATACAGTACAGTTTGCAACAATGGCCCATTCAAACAGTAATATTATTATTAAAATTGATGAAATTGTTTTTGAGTTTATTCATAACAAACAATCTAATCTTTCCTTCTTATAATATTAGTACAGATATCCAAATTATTATTCATAAAGTTAAAATACATTCACATCCACTACATAATTTATTATTTTATTGCAGGTTTGCCTGTTTTATATACAAATATTTTAAATTAGAAAACCACATACTCCAAGAGCCATAGCATGAGCAATTCCAAATTTGGGTACATTCCTAGCCCATAATGGCTTGAAATGATCTGTAAGGCATATTTTTCCTCCTCTGTACATTTTTGCAGTCTTTCCATCAAGACCTGGGAGAGCTAACTCTGGTGCAGTTGTCGGGTATGTGATAGGTATCTAAAACAAGAATACATAATAATCACACATAATCAATTGTAACATTGGAAAAGGTTAGAAGATGTCTGATAAGTTATGATAAGCTCATAATAATGCAATAATAATGGAAGACCAAAACCATTCAGATTGACCTCTTTCAGTTGCTATACATGAATTTATCTACTCTGCCAAGTCAATCACAAATAACTTTAATACTACATAATTTTAAAGTAACATTTTAATTAATATAAAGACTTTTTACTTTATAATCCTTATAATATTATAAATGTGAAAGCAGGGATGTATGTTCAGCTTTCACACAAAAACTACTGAACCAATCATCATGAAATCTTAAGATATATAAAATATACAAGCTTTTACCTGCAGATTTTCACTCGCAATGAATCAAAAATTTTTTTTTTAATAAAAAGTATCCTATATTCATTTCATTACCTCCAAGACCATGTCTGTTCTTAAGGGTATAAGCTGGTATATAATAATTAAATAAATACTTACATCGAATTCCAGATCAAACTCATACTTCAAAAGGTTGTGGACATACCAGCATTTTCCAAACCATCTGGTACCTGTTTTATCTGATTCCAGCCTGAACCAATCATTATCTGCTGTCTTATTGTTTTGTACATACTGTAATCAACAAATTGCACATAAATTATAATATAGAAGTGATATTTTTTACACAAGTGTTTATAACTAATACTTCTATGTAACTATTTTTGTGATAATATCCAGTGTTAGATAATTAATAATAATTAAATACATTATTATGTATTTAATAATTTATAATAAATACATACTTAATTTAATTCTAAGTATCATTAAATATAAAGCATCTAAATTTCAGACATAATGATTGTCCTTTATAGTAAACTACACAGAGTATTATGCTGGAAGTAGGTCAAATAAAATGGAATACATCAAGCCTCCAGGACCACCAATAAATTTATATTAAATAGTTAATCAAAGGTAAACTGATTTCAATGAAAGTGAAAGTTTGGGCAGTTGGCAACCAGTATTTTATATATTTTAAAGTCATTGAACTAATATAAACGAAATTACTAATGTCAAGTAGAATAAGTAAATTATTATTATTCAATAGCTATAGGTAATAAAACAATATATTTTAAAATGTTACTTTAATGAGCGCTTGATATTCCTCCTTCAGTCTAGCAACCCATAACTCTTTATCTCGTGGTCCAGCCTTGGTTTGCAGTAGTGGTATACTACTTAAAGTTTTCCTTGTGCCTTCATCTACCATATTGTTCACTTTATTTCATACTGTTATCGTAAAATTAAAATAAAAAAGGATTAAAACAACACAAAATACATGGAACAATTGCCATCACATCACTTGTACAGGGTTGTCAGCAAACAGCCAGAAATCTTCCCAAGTCGCTTTTAATATTAAAACTCACTAAATATATGTCATACCATTTGAATTTTTTAAGGACTTATAATATAAAATTAATATGCAACAAAATATAAACCAATAAGAAAAAGGGATATTAAACTAATTTATAACACAAATATTATGTGTATTCATACTGCGTAAAAGTACACTAATCTAATACCAGAAATCTCATGTTGAGCAAAGCTAACATTCGAAATGATGAATGTCATGGTGTATACAACTATACACACTGCATTATGTAATCTTTTCATGTAATCGATACTAATCCAAATCCAAAAATAAACCACCTTTGCAAGCTACTATTTTAAAATTATATGTCATTAAATGGTAAATATTCATGTTTAAAATGTCAGCTAAATATGCCACAGAATCAATTTGAAGAGGATAATAGGCTAAAATAGCAAGAAAGTATTTCATGGTCACACTGCAACGTCGCATTAAAGTTGTCAATAATGACATTGACATATTTGGCATTTGGAGAGCTCAACTACGGCTGTATGGGCTTTGTCTCTTTGCTTTTCCAATAAAAATAAATAAAACAAAAAAAATAGAGAGCTTACCGTGAATCATAGATTTCTTACCGCGTCACAGTTTTTTTACTACCCACCCACTAAGCAAGTACTCACTACGTTTTAAATCTATACTTAGGATAATAACTGGGATCTAAACTAATCTTATTATTATTATTAATATTATAAATGCGAAAATTTGTAAGTATGGATGTTTGTTATTCTTTCAAGCAAAAACTACAGAACGTATTTTGATGAAACTTTATGGGTAATATAACTTATACATCAGAATAACACATAAGCTATATTTTTTATTGAAATTTAACGCGTGCGAAGCCGCGGGCTCAGCTAGAAATTAAAATAACTTAAGTATGAAACAATTAATATTTTTGATGCAAAAACTAAATAGGTAATCAAGTACCTATGTTATTGATGTAAAATAAATATTTTATCTGTAAATAGTCATAATGATCTCTGACCATAAAATGTCACATCTAGGTAGAATGTAGGTACCTAAAACTATGACATTCCTTGTGTTTATACCCACAAACCTCAGCAGGAGTGTATTTTTTTTATTTGAATACATTTGTATGGGATACAAAGTAAGTAGTGATCGTACTGGCAGTTTTATAATTCAAAATTTGAACAAAGAAAACTTGTAAATTGATTTAAAAAATATACAAACTATGAACATGGTGTTCGTGATGTGGCGTTAGTCTCCAGTAAAATAATATTAAAATATATACAAAAAAAAAGAAAAAATATAATAACCTTATGTAAGTGGGGTCATTCATATAATTCTTGATTTTCTCGTACTTAATAATAGCACAGATAACATAATATTACATAATAATAGTGAAATAGTACTTAATTATGATTGAACCTGTTGTTTCTCCATTTTGCCCTTTGCCAATACAACAAGAAAACTAAACTTGATACTATTTAAGAGCTGTTTAATAATTGCATGCATTAAAATATTTAGATAGTTTCAGTACTGCATCGGTAGGGTAAAGACAGTTATGTTATGTTTTGATTTTCAGAATCTACTACAAGGACCAGTTATTTATGATTAATGTAATTCAAAATTACTAACTTGCTAACCATACTATTGTTGATATAGTCTACGTTTGATAATGGCTGATAGGAAAAAGTAAGTTAATTGATTACAAGTATGAATATTTTTTGTATATTACGATGGTGTAATATAAAAAAATACAAAGTCGTATTACCGTAGAGTTTTGCCCGCGTGAAATAGTAAAAGAACCTTATAATGATACTCCTATTAATTGTATAGGCAGCCATATCTACATAAATCGGTCAAATGAAATTATTTTACGGTAATACTAGTTCTGTCCATGTGCTCCGCATTTCAGGGCCATATTGATTTACCGTGAATTAAATGGATAGTGTAACGCAATATTTTTTTGTCGTATAGGGCTCAATAAAATTGGTTTGGAATAATGTCGAAAGTTAGCGGTTATGCGGGTGAGCGGTATCCTCGCAAAGATGATGCCGGAAAAAAGTGAGCGTGCTGCAACAGTGACAAGTGTTTCAATAACGAAAATCTATTAAAGGATTTATAACATAAAATTAAAAGAAATTAATATTATATTAAATATTATAAATGCAAAAGTTTGTGAGTATGGATGAATAGATGGAAGATGGATTACTTTTTCATACAAAAACTACTGAATGGATTTTTATTAAACTTTACTGTATTATAGCTTATATGTACATCAGTATAACACAGACTATATATTTCACGCGGGTGAAACCACGTGCTAGTTAATATTAAATATATTATTGTTATGATGTAGACATCTGATATTTAGTTCTGTTTTTTCTATTTATAGGCACATACCTACCTTACTTTCTTAGCGGGCTAACGAACAAAGAATATACTAAGTCTGCGTTTAAGGAGTAATTTAAGATACTACAGTAAAAATATAGTTTACATTTAGGTTCAATTGTTATGGTATAATATAAATTTTTAGAGTGGCAGGTGTACAAATATTGCTATAATTTGTTTAAATATATCTGTATTTAAGGATATTTCAGTAGATTACGAGACAAAAAAAAAACTATTATTTTCTATAGATTGAGTTGATATAAAAAAATCGCATTTTGGTCTATATTTTTTTCCAGACCCCCAGCAGCGGGCGATGCTCCTATATATAAGAAGAAAAATGAGGTAGTTACAGGCAAACACAAGGAGGAGCCACCGTCACCAGAACCAGAGAAAATACAGAATACTCTATCACAAACAATTAAAGAGTTAGTATAAGTTTATTTGATAGTATAGCGCATTGCTAGATGAATTCATTTGTCACTTGTCCATAATATTAGTCTTGGGTTACACGACGTCTTTTTAGAATTAAAAAGACGTCGTGTAACCCAAGATTTCAAAATAATTGCACCCGAAGACCTCATAAAAATAGTAAATATTTAGGTATCACTACTAACAATAGTCATAACTAGACTTTAAGGAATGTGATTTGTTAAAAAATAAAACTAACCTGTTTGGTTTAGTACCTACTTGCATTGATTGAACAATTTTTTTTTCGTGGTGTCATTTATCCAACAACTATCCAATATAGTTTTCAGGCGACGTCAACTGACATGACATTACCAGAAGAGCTTCACTAGTTTATATTACTAACGATCCATCTAACCGTATAGAAGTATAATAGTAACATACTTTTAGTGACGCTGAATATAGAGCCATGTTAAGGCGGCAACGGTTCAAGCGCAGATGGCCGGAGATCAGTAAAGTCAAGATACGTACAAAGCCGTGGTTACCACCAGGACCTCCACAACGAATGCCTCCAATTGTAAGTCTTAAGTATATCTATACTAGCTGTACCCGCGACTTCGTCTGCGTAAAATAGTGACCTTGACCAAACAATGAAAAAATATTTAGTAATCTAACCCAATAAAAAAGTTACAATGTTCTTCTTCAAACTTCTCTTCAAACTTAAAAATGAAAATTTCCATACAGAATTCCATACAATTCAATAAACAGCCTAAAAAATAAGTTTCAAACTTCATCTTTAAAAATGACGGTACTTCCACACAACATTACATCTCTCCATTCAATCCCTTATAACCCTTTTTCTATGTCATATCATATATTCTATCTTCTATACGTATCATAACATTTTTATAAATGTCAGTGATGACTTACGGCACAGAGACATGGTCGCTAACTATGGGCCTCATGAATAAGCTCAAAGTCACTCAGAGGGCGATGGAGAGGGCTATGCTCGGAGTTTCTCTGCGTGATCGAATCAGAAATGAGGAGATCGGCAGAAGAAGCAGAGTGACCGACATAGCCTGAAGAATTACAAAACTGAATTGGCAATGGGCAGGGCACATAGCTCGTAGGACAGATGGCCATTCGATCAGTAAAGTCCTCGAGTGGCGTCCGCGGACCGGAAGACGCAGTATGGGAAGGCCTCCAGCAAGGTGAACCGACTATCTGGTCAAGATCGCCTGAAGGCATTGGATGCGAGCAGCGCAGGACCAATCGTCGGGGAGATCTTTGGGGGAGGCCTTTGTTCGGCAGTGGACGTCTTCCGGGCTGAGATAATGAGAGATAATGATGAAATGTCATATTTATTTATATTTAATAAACATTCTAAAAATTTCTTTAACTTCTTTTGAAAATCGATGATCCAGTTAACCAATAACATAATAAAATTTTGTTAAATCAAAATAATAGTATAATAAATGTGATATTCGAAATTGCAAACTGTCCCTCTACTTGAGCCAACCCGCCAGAAGGGAGGAACGCGTATTCCGACCCTGAATTGCATGGATGGGACGGTAGATGTTGTTTCCTCCAAGGACATGTTCTTAATATTATATGACGTTTTATTCTTCAAAAATATTAATAATATGGTCTTACGTTCTTGTCCAAGAGTGGGGTCATCAGTTATAGGCTGTACCAGGATTATATTTAGGTATTTATATAATAAAATTGCCGAGCAAACGTTTATATATTTAAATTTATAAGACAACGGATTGACAATAATCAATTGCGCACGCAATTTCGCATGCGCGCAATATACAATAATACAAATGACATATATTTTTTTTAAATTAGATTGTCATTCCACAGTTATAAAGTGTACTTTCCAAAACTTGTAATTTTTAGTTAAACCAGTACCTATTATAATAATATAAATGTGCGATGTATTCAACCGCATAAAGATCACCTTGTATTTCCATTATGAACCCCTTACAACCCTTTTTTCGCATTAAAAAGTAGCCTCGGCGTCTAGACTATCTGCGTACCAAATTTCATTTAAATCGGTTCAGTATTTTTGGCATGAAAGCGAGACAGACAGACAGACAGAGTTACTTTCGCATTTATAATATTAGCAAAGGTAAGTAATCGATTTTTAAACTAAAAAAAGGCACTATTGGATGAGTTGTGGTGAAGAAATCAGCTCACGATTTGATCAAGGAAGCTATCCCTGGTATAGTTGCTGGCTATTAAGGTCATGTTAGGTGTTAATAATGGGATAGACACAATTTTAATTGTAATAAAATTAATGTAGAACCGATATTTAAAGTAAATACTGTCGATTATAAAAAGAACAGCCAAAATTGATTCACTGCTAGCGAGTATACCTATGTGTAGATAATAATCATTTTACGGCCTCATTGGTTAAGCGGTTTAATCCGATGGTCCAAGATGAACGAGCAATAAATTTAAAATAAATGTTATTCTGCATAACATTAAAAATGGAATACATATTTATAATTCATGTATGTATTTATAATAATATATATTTATTTCTGAATCGTCTAAGACCCATAATACAAGCACTACGTGTTTTTGACTAGATGGCGCTTTGTGAATTGTCTAGATTTACTATTATATTATTTTCAGACAATAAAACGTCCGGAGATTATGACTCAGCCGTGGGTACCTCCCTATCGGCGCCGTCGTCGTCCTCGCCCCAGGCGGATGAGGATACCTCCAGACGAAATTACACAACCATTGTACGAATTTGCTAAATTAAAAAAGGTAACCATGAAATTAAGAATTTGTTACCTTACATAATCCTGAAAAAAAAAACTATAGGTTGGTACCTAACTACGAGTACATATGTATAGAATACAGAAAATACTACATTTAAGACTCTGAATACAGTAAACTTGGGAAATAAGATTCATAATATAGTGGAAGAATTACTCGACTATAAATAAGTGTTTACTGCTTCTACTTAGAAACCTAAAAGGTCGTAAGACCGAATATGACCTGGCTAGTATAAAAAACGTTTGTAACTTTAAAATTCTAATTTCGCGAAACATGAAAATAAACTAAGTTAATAAGACCTCTGTTATCGATTAATGTAACTAATAATATGGTCAAGTTCGTGCAGCGTATTTTTGGAGAAACAAAACTTCAATGCTATTAAACCCATCCTTTTTGTTTAAAAAACAAGGCAACATGTTAATCTGGTACTACGTTTGCTACTGTGTCAACAGTAGAATATCTTGACTATCCCATTTGAGTCTAAAAAATATATATGTGCAATTTTGAGCTTATATTCTTTTTTGTTTTCTGTTCAACAACTATTGTACATATGTTCTCAAAGTACAGATTTACTATTTCAGATCTGGCATAATTTTGGTCAAGTTGAAAAAAACAAGATGATACTGAAAGGAAGTATCGGATGTAATTCTAAAAAGTACTCGTCTACTGCTTGCGGTGAATATTTTAAAACTTTTCTAATGTGTATAATAGTCCTCAATTTTTACTGCTCTTACAAAACCTCCATGCACTTCTTAACTCAAACTATAATATTATAATAATACATCATAGGAGCCCAAACTGGCTGCATAGCAGCTGTGTGCCGTGCACTTTTGGAAGATAAAACACCTGGACAGCTTACTAGGGGAGATGTAGACGACGTGATTGAAGCTGGAGATAGATATTATAAACAGTGCATGCTATCGCTTAAATGCTATAAAGGTAAGTCTGTAGAATTATTCTTTGAATGAGATTAAACCAGAGGTACTTAAACTGTAAAAAATCGTCTGCGGAAGTACCACAGTATTTCAGCCGCCAAAGAGCGTGCTTTTTTATTAGGTTGTTTGGGTTATTGTTAGCCTAACATCTTGGCCCTATATCACTGCGACCTACATAGATCTGCTCGCCCTTTTCAGAGATCGCTACCTAGACCCGTCAGGGACAAGAATTGAATTGATATTCTTAGGAGCGATGGTTTTTATCTTCTATGGATAAAGTGTAAACTTTCCAAAGGAGATATTATGTTTATGCATGATAGGACTACAACCACATAGGATGTGTAGTGACGTTTTCTCTTCATTTTGGCAAAATCTGCAGATCTTGAGTTGTCCACGAGCTTGCTTTACAGGCTGTGTTACGGTTGTAGAGTAAGATTAGGCAATGAATTTACTGAATAATATTAAAAAATGAATCTGGAATGGCAACCAATTGTGGTATCACAATGACATGATGACGTGATGTCAGTTGTCCTGTTTTGTATATAAGCGACAGTCATCGCTTAACATCAGGGAGACCTTCCTACTTGTTTACCATTCTATTTATGTACAGAAAAAGGCTAATATCCATTGAGCCAATGAAAAAATATCTTGTTTTACACTGTGAATGTTATGAACTAATCTTGTTATAAGTATAGTTATATCGAATCACAAAATTCAGTCATGAGTGACGATCGATATATGTATTATGACAATGTATTGTCAATACAGTAAGTTTATTATTAATTATGTAGTCTGTGATACAATCACAGTCATATCATATAACGTAAATCCGCAATGTGAATAATAGGCAACCTAACCTGTAATTAAAATATGGAGCTATATCCCGCTGTACTGCTTCCATAAATACAGACCATATTTAAATTTTACAGGTCGATAAATGTAGTTTTTTTATAGGTATTAGGCTTGTAATGGATATTTTAGACCATTAGATCTTTCCTACTTGTTATATTTGGTTTAGTCTTAGTTGTAAAACTACAGAATGGAACATAAATTAACATTAAATGTTAATTTATACGAAAAATCAAAAAATACTATTCTATACAGGCAAGCCTCAACTACAACTGAACCAGCTTCTTACATCATTCTTCTTTCGCGACAGCAAGTATACGGTGAAGATATCAGAGATTGAAAGGGGGTTGCTTGCTAAACACCCTGATAATATCCAAGCTGAACCTGATCTTATGGCGTAAGTATCTTATTATGTTGGTCCTAGTCCTATGTTGGTCTTAGTTAGAATAACTTTATATACAAGTAATTGGTTGAGTGCATTGATTTAAAAGAAATAAAAAATTAGTAAAATTGGAAAAATACGAACTTAATTGTTCTATTGTGAATAAGCTAGGTACTACTCTTAGAAGTGGACTGGTTCTAACAGATATAAAGCAAGATATACGTGATATAAGTATATATACAGAAAATAATTTTTAAGCTTATTGTGTAGTGTTGTTTTGACATTGCACTGAGGCTTGAACTTTTTGTGTCCGAGATTGCACTTTTGAGTATTATTGTTTGTCCAACTTCCAACCAACAACAAAATCCAACTATTTGTTTGCGTTAATAGATTGTATCATATTTTACTATCAAATTACAGTAAGACGTGAAAAGTTAAAATAGAGATAGACACATTCTTTTATGTCTGTTAGTACAAATTTAACTTTACGAAACGTCTGTTTAAATTCTCTCAGAAGTCTAGAACTGCAGCAATATCTAAATGTAAATATTTATTTCAAGTCTTATGGAAAAGAAAATTGGTTCTACATACATGATGATTTTAACCTTGGGCGGTGACCGTCATTTCTTAATATGGGGCCACCCACCTCCACCCGAGTCAGGAAGCCAAGTGAGGACTATCTGCTACATCTTTGATCCTCATATGCTTAACGAACTGGGACAGCCACATAAATTGTGAGTATACTAGTAACTACTTTAATATTCTATACCATATTAACTATATGCGATTTGGTTTACCTGATTTTCAGTAATCTGAATACTGTAAGTATGTCTTAGGACTTGATTATATGACTAAAACTATGTATATATATTTTTTTATTAGATTTTCAAATTTCCATCTCTATATGTTAGCTGTCGTCCATGCAATGTCGACTTAGCTTGTATCAGGAGTTATGAGTAGTTCAATAATACGCGTTGTCGATTTAATTTATTATTTTCTTACGAAACTAAACATTGGACTCAACCACATTATTTCTTAGGTTTGGTGCTGGTGCGTTTCTTCGATACGCCGGCATCACTTCCTTTGTTCTAGACTTTCTTGCCAACTATGGAGATCTAGATGCTGCTAAAAAGGGCACCCCCAAACCACCAATAACTTTGACCAATATAGAGGTATTATGGCATTTACTATTTAATTATATTTTTTTATAAAATCTCCAGCTCGTTTAATATTATGTAAATGGAGCAGATGCCTATTTTTGAATTATTATACTCACCAGGTGGTGCAAAAGGAACCATTGCTTAGAGAGCCTAAGTATGAGCTTGACCTGAAAGCAATTAAGACTCACTGTCAAAGCGAATGGGATAGTCTCAACATCAATGCTTTGTTAGAGAAAAAGATCAAGGAGGTAAATTTGAACATCTACTAATACCATTTTGATATATCTAAATTAATTTTATTTGTATCGTGGTATCCCTCATTTGTTGCCATTCCGGAGCGTTAAGGTGTCATGTATTTCTAAATTTAATTGTGTTTATAGAATTAAACGTGTGATCATCCGACAAGCTTTCTGAAAAGATTATCATTTGGAGTTACAAAAACATTATTTTAGGGAAAACCATCCTGTTCCAAGACCATAAAAAAATGCAAAGTAGGAGATCGATCATAGAAGTATATGCAGTTAGCTCACCTTCTATTTATTGGTTCTAATTTCTGATACTAAATTACGAGAGTATGAGGTATTATAGTCAACAAGAGAGGAAGATATAGATAATAGTCGATTATGTAAACCGAGATAATTAATATTCTCAATCTGTAATACACTACCTAACGTCTCGCAACAAAGCGTTTAATTTTTAAACTAGTATTTTTAGTTAAAATCCATCACATCTTGAATTTATGTGGCAAAATTTAAATCGTGTGGAAAATGTCGTGGTAATGCCATCTTTTAATTCATTGAAATATGGAACATATAAAATGTGTAATAACAACGCACGCCTAATTACAGGGTCAGTATCCACTGTGTTCCTTAAGCGCAGTGAGCTTGGCCACTTCAAGAGCAACTTCTAGAAAGAAAATGAGAGAATTCTACCAAAAGACTCCTAAAGAGGTAATATATTTTTTTTTATTCCTGGAGTCAACGCTGACCAACGTCTCTCTCTTTCTCTAAATGGGAAATTGAATAAATTGACATCCAACCACATTTGTTTCCGCAATTTATCAGAGCAAAAGATACAGTAGCACGATTGTAAACAGCAATCTTATACCTCTAAAGACTTTTGTTTTAGTTTGTCAAATGTCTTGAATTTTTATCTTTGAAACTAAGCAACGCTACGTGTAAAACGTGTTAATGTAAAAATACACCCCGATAACATTTATTTTTGTGTTTATCATTCTTCTTCTTTCTAAATTCTAAATGTACATTCGGTTTAGTACATTCGACGACTTTAGTACCTTCCTTTATGCAAGATGACAGACAAAGGAGAGGAGAGTAGGTGGGCTGTAGTCCGAAATGGTCGCAGTCGCACCTCCTTTGAAGCGACAGCCTATATATGAATAATCTGCAATATTATTTTACAGCCCCCTCCGCACTTGCCGGTCGCCCCCGAGCGAGCACCTCCAAGTCCAACCCTAGATCAATTGATGCAGCTCCGTGGCGAAGACTTCTTCTTGTATTGTCCTAAAACAGACGGTCATACATACGGCAGGTGAAAAAAAATCCATTGTGATGAATTAGTACTGAACAACTACCGGCACCTTACTACAACTCTCAGATTGTTCGTAGTAAATTGCAAACCCATCAATTTATTATTTTACATACAACTGAGAATTATAAAAAACATCTTTACCTAAAGCTCTGAAATAATTTAACTAACATCCTAAAACCATTCACAGAGATGATATGATACCGCGTCCTAAATCTGAGACAGTTTTACACAGTCCCGTGGAAATAGCTACGCAAAATTACCACTCGCAATTTCAGCAAGTCGATGTTGGGAAGTGGATCCTGAGGGGTACAAGACATATGGGAAGTTACAGGTAAAGTTTCTATGTCATGATTCAGATACCAATCTCTGTAGACCAATAATGATAGAGGAGAGCATTTACAATTTAATTTAGTTCGAACTATTGGAAAAAAACTTAGGTAATGATAGACCACCATAAATAGTAGTATCAGTCTACTCTAAATGTCGACAATACATTCAATCAGCAGTTAATATATTTTTTTATTTGAATGATAGACCACCATAAATAGTAGTATCAGTCTTCTCTAAATGTCGACAATACATTCAATCAGCAGTTAATATATTTTTTTATTTGAATGATAGACCACCATAAATAGTAGTATCAGTCTTCTCTAAATGTCTACAACACAGTCAATCAGCAGTTAATAATTTCATTGACTAAACTACTTACTATACCGCTGCGATTTTCAAATATCATATTAGCGCTGCTTTTACACGATACATTTTTTCATGCGCGATCAGAAACGCACGTGAAAACCAGCTCGCTCGCAATCGTGAAGCATTAGCATTTATTATTTTTTTGAGATGATTCTTTAGCGCGTAATAACACACATAATTTTGTTTTTTAATTTCATTTTTTCAAGATTTTATTTTCCAAATGCATCTTTAAATTATTTATAAATTATCAATAACTCTATACTCTATAGTCAGATGTCTTCCATTTTACAATGATAATTAATTATTGCAAAAATGCACTAAACGATTGAGAACTCGGGACTGGCGCATGCTGTTTTTCTCGTTCTCTTTGTCTACATTTACATGCACATTCTTTCCTTTGTCAAAACCGATTCGCATGTGAAGGAACTTACGTGTATAGTTATATAATCAAATTCTCAATTAAGGTATCAAACATTCAAGACCTACACAAGTATTCCGTGCTGTGTAGCTGCTCTCGCTATGCTGAGGAGGCTCCGAGCACGGGCATGGAATGAAGATACTTTGGATGAGACCTTGGATATCGGCTACAACCTGTATAGGGTAAACTTATTCTTTGTTCTACACTTTAAATCTTATTAAATGTTTGATAATATAATTATTTATACGATAGTATTCGTAAATATGAATTACCTATTACAGCCCGACCATGCAAATATTGTAATATAATACTAAAATGCTTAATAATAACATACGGCCCATATTACTCGCTGATAATGTGTTCCTTTCTCTAGTTAAAAGAATTTTCAATATAGGTTATTATTTTAATTACTGTAAAGGTGCACACTGTACTGAATTTTTAAAATCTAACACGCACCTTCCCAGTACCTCTATCAGTAACTGAACAATTTCTCTAACAGGAATCTTTAGTTGAGCGGGGAGGCCCAATTCGTCGGCTTGTTCTCGGTGAATTAAAAGACAATTTCAGAATACGTGACAGAGAATATACCCACAAGGTTGGTTAGAAATTACACCCACTAAATGCTATCATAATTTAGATTTAGTGTAAATATGATTTTTATACATGTATTAAAAATTTACACATAATTTAATAAAGTTTTTAGCCAACTAGAATTTTTTGAATCTGCCAATTGCATTAACAATATAAACAGATAAAGAGAGACGAAGATCCTACCTATTTTGAAAGATCTTACTCTCTTACTTAAGATCTCTTGATAATTTTTTTATTAAATTCTGTTATAATAGCTGCGAGGAATAGCAGTATGGGGTAAACTACTGTCTTCGAGTCCCAAAGTCTTAGATCTCTGTCGTGGTATTGAGAGTTTCTTCAAAGAGTCAGACGCTGGTGTTCTTCAGGTATGTTTATTATTTTCTAGATTTTACCGATATTGTACAATCCTACATATATTGTACTATACCAGTAGCCGACTATATGGTTTTGAAAATTCAACCACGTGGTCATTCAGAATGGAATTGTATCCATAAGGAGAAAATTAAAATTTTGCGAGTTTTCAGATTCCAGGAGAGTATGAAACGGCTATTTGGAATGAAGGTGGCACATTCTACGTATATCATCCGTGGCCCGCAGATAGATATGGGCATAGGGTAAGTGAATATTTCTGGCTGGTAATGTATAAGCTACACTAACTTACATTTAAAAACAATACAATAACCCTATAACTTTCCTATTCTTTATCAGATATCTTACAACAACTTTCAACCCGTGTTAAAAAACCATACTACATTAGTGTGTAGGATAATACACTCAAGTCATTATATCAGCATAACTTAACTATACCGATTTTGATGAAATTTTATGTGTATATTCAGTAGGTCTGAGAATAGATTTATAACAATTTTTATACCCTTAAGAAGGTGGCTTACCCCAAAAAAAAAATGTTTTTATTTTTTTCACCAAATTTTTTATTTCAATTTTTTTTATTATGTGGCATTAAAAAGACATACAGCTTTAAATGTTCACCCTTCTACCAGCTACCCCTATTTTTTAATAGCAATATTTATTTATATGATAAAACAAAGTTTGCCTGAACAGCTAGTATAAAATATAAATATATCTAATTATAAAAATACGAATAAATTAATTAATAAAGGTTTTGAACATCTTCCATAAATCTATTACATCTGTAGAAAAGATACATATAAAAGAACACAATTATAGAATTGTGTTCTTTTATATGTATCTTTACAGCTTGTAGACAACATTTAGGCCTCAGACAAGCATATAAAACTATCTATAGTTTTTACTAATAGCAACCAAAGATTTACCAGTTGTCGTTATAATCCATTTTAAATCCATCAATTACTTATTGTATAAATTATTTTGGGTATAATTTTTGTAACTTGATTTTTAGTTTCCATTTCATAATAATTTTGTATTCATAGGTTGGTCTTCGGGAAGGTGGGAAAGCCTGCCTCCTCTACTTTGGGCACATAGCTCGTTTGTGTGAGTACTTCATGGACAATGTAGCTGATATGAAGAGAAAACCTTTCAGCATAGCTGATGTCAGCGTATTTGAACGAAAAGAAATGCCTGAGCCTTTGAATAAACTTAAACGTAAGATTATTATTATATTTATACGCTTTACTGTAGTATCCAAATAACTAAGGTATGTTATTTCAAATAAACAAGCTTCAGATTCAATATTAAATACCATTTTATAACGTATGAATTTGTATCATTGCCATACATACAAACATGGCAGTCGTGAGTCACGTGAGTCTCGATTGTTAGATACATATTATGTACAATTTTAAGTATGTATATATATATGAATTTTATTATAATTGTAATTACTTCTTCCTTTTACTATTTTTAATTTCATGCTATTATTTACTTAAATGCACTGCCCATTAACCGCCCATTAATCTTGGGTACTAGATAACTACTATACATTTTAAACATAGATATTTTTTGTACTAGCATATATACATAGAAAACATTAGAATCATACTCACGAAGTTTTCCCTATGGTCGACTGGGAGAAAATAACTTATGGTCTAAAAGCCAGCTATTTCTTTGTATTTTGTAATATGTATAGTAAGAATACATAATAATAGAAATGGAATTGGAATAAAAATCAATTGGAAATTATGAAGCATCCTAATTACACTTGGCCCTAAAAGAAATACAAGAGATACTCTTACTCGTAAATCTAGATCTACTCGTATATTAATTTTCTTAATTATATTTTTTCGTCCACAGCGGTAGCTCCCAACCGGTGGGTGATCCGTGGTCGATTCCATGAGGGTGATGATCGTTTCCCAGAGGAACACCGCAATAAGCAAGCCACGCCAGCTTCTATTGCTGCCATAGCTATGGCACATATTGTGGAACCTTCGTCGTGGACTCCTGATGATATCGATGAGGTTGTATTTTTAATCTTTCATTATTTTCAATCTTCTGTGTCTTTAAACGGTTATGTTTCAACTATCAAGAAACATCCGCTGATTCCTTTGCTACTAGTTAGAAAAAAAAATTCGTCAACTTCACAGACTCTTATCCGAGGTGATATTCTATACCAAAATACAATCGAATATCTCAAACGTATGGGCATCAGTTTAGACTCCATGAAAAATACAGAAGAAGCCGGAGAAGAAGAAGAATCTGCACCAAGCGGGACACTGGCGGCAGCTGATGTTCTTACTAAATTTAAGATCTCAGAGTACGATTGCATTGAAGCTGATGTTTTGGACAGTCAGTATAGCGGTGAGCTAATAATTTAAATAAACTTTCAATCACGTGTTATGTATTTTTATAGGGAACAATGTGATAATGATACAGACCTGACGACATTGAAAAGTTGAAAAATAAGTATGAAGTTGTTTAGCTCTACCCAAGTGTTAAATGACGTGCCTTATAAAAACATTTAAGTAATGTTTTATTTGTTATTTCTATTTCTTATCCCAAGTAGTTATTTAAATGACATCATTTAAATAACTACTTGGGATATGAATGATGAATGAAGATGGGATTTAAATCTGCTATACTCACATGAGTATAGCAGATTTAAATCTCTATCTAAAAGCTCTAACTTGGTTCAATTTTTATAACGCAGAAACGTTAAAAAATTGTGTAGATTGAATATTTATTAACAATATTTGTAACGACAGCTTTTAACCTATTATACTCTCTTAACCCAAATAGGACAACTCAATGCTGATAAATCTAGTGGCATAATGTCTTTAAAAGATTCTTTGAAACAACTATTCAAAGAACACACTCATGCAATAGTGACTGCCAGGGGTGGATCTACAGCAGTATGGATGCAGGACAACCACATGTATTTCTTCGATCCTCATGGCTGTGATGAAAATGGTAATTGATCTTTAAAGGCTTATTTCTATTAAGCAGTAGTATTACGCTTTTATGTACTCAAATTTATTACTGTAACTCGCCATCCAATAAATGTGGATACGATCCACCCACAATAAAAATATGTATAATCATGTCACCTTCATATTATGTTTGTACGCATTTATGTTTCGTTTTTAATATCTTGCGACGTAATATTGCAACATGGAAACCTCCAATATGAAAGAAATATCTTAATATATTTAGGAATTCCATCTGAGGAGCCACGTGCAGCTGCTTGTCTGGTGCGAGTAAAGGGTCAGGTTGATGAACTAGCTAATATTATAATGGGCAACTTGGCCCCCGGTTCTGACGACAGTTTCAACATATCCCCTGTAACTGTAACAGCCACTAAACTGAATACAGAGTTAGGAGCACCAGAAACTAAATTAGAGGTAAGTATTATTAGTACAGCCTATTGTAGACATGCTGATGTCATAAATAAGTCATTACTATCACTTATTACCTTAGAATTTAGATTTTTATTATTTTCACTTTTACTTGACAAAGTTATACAAAATTATACACTCGCGGAGCACCAATGAAGGATGAATCGATGAAAATAAAATTTGTTACTTAAACCATTATAAAATTAGTCTAATATGCTTCATGATGGTTTTCAGATCCATATCATTCGTTGCAAGTAGTACAATATCTTCCATTGCTAGCATGTGACACCCTTGGTACTTCATGCGTCCATAGGCTACAGTAACTCTTCACTATTACATAGGCCGTATACTTGATTATCACCATAGATTATAAAAATAAATGTGGTCAATAATATCCATCATTAGCGTCTTGCTTTTTATGTAGATAATATACTTATAGGAACTTACATTACACTTAGTAATAATATTAAAATTTAATTAGAGTAAAGATTTTGGATGGATCAGCAAGGGCACTGCAGCCATCATGATGGGTCCACGAGGAGAAAACACTGCAATTGGTAAAATCGCTGAGAAAGTTGGTATTGGGGTAAGTTTATAAAAGACATAACCATTTTTATAACAGGACAAAAATGTTCTTTATGAGTTTTCTATGTACATGTATCATATATATTATATGCGGAAATGCGAAACCAATATTTTTAGTACATATATACGATTTTGTTTTAAATATTCGGTACACCTAATCTCAATATTAATGTTATATATAATATAATTAATCCAAAATTGCAATAGGAGGACGATATGGCAGGTCGTCTTATCGCGTTACCCGCAGCTGCTGCTTTCGTTGCCGCCACAGATTCTGTACCACCTCCACATATGCATCAAGATCACATGTACAATTTCCTTGGTATGATTAAAATAATGCGGAATTTATATAATAAATGATTAGCCATTTGTTTTTGTCTTAAGTAATGCATTTCTCTATACAGATGCTGGTGCCGATTACTATCTTAATCACGTGAAGAAAACAGGTCGCAAGGAAGTGCTGCCTGAAGATCTGACAGAGAAATTTGAAATGGGAGCCAACACTTTTTCCATAGAGCTCGGAGAAGCAATAAAATTATCTCTAAGATTGCCTGATGAACCTCAAGGGGTATATTATTATATTTATCTAAAAATATTTTGTTTGTTTTTTAATACGGGGAACCCTATTGATATAAAATAGTCTTTGAATTTTAAAATGTTAATATTCTATAAATTACGCTAGTTAGTTAGTTACTTTACCTTAATTGAATATTACATTTCAGGAAGGTGGTGAAGAGTCGGCTGAAAGAGACGAAATTGGTGAAGAATTAGAAGAGGAAGAGAAAGAAGAGCCAATGAGGCGTGCGTTATTATATTTATAATACTTTTTGATAAATCTAAACTTGACAGAACATGTTTTATTGAGTTAGGTATTATTTTGCGGGAAGTCCATTAATTACTTAATTTATAAGGATGGACGTTAGGACCACAAATTATATATCGGATGTAGATTACAAATGTATTTATTATAATACCTTACATGGGGGTTGATATTCTGCATATTACACTTTATAGTCCATTAATTACCTAGAACATATCTAATGGTAGTCTTTTTGTACATTAGTACTCGTAAGATAAGATTTATTTATTTATTTATTTATTCATTTCAATATTACAATGGATATTACTCAATTATGATTATTTCACGAATCTTTTTCCAGAAATAAAGGATGCTCTCTTTAAGATGTGGTACGATCAATCGAAACTCGCTTCAGTATCCCTCCTTGTGGGAGATTATCACCAATTAGGTGTGTGGATGTCACCAGGAGGAAAGGTAGTTGCATTCGATCCAGCCCCCACTCTGAATAAAGGATTACTGACACCTCAAAGAATTAAAAAAGGTGATATTGTACAATATGTGTATAATTTTCTAATAAAAATATTTAGATTTGACACGGTCAATTATGTATAATTGTTTTTCTTAATAAAATCAAAATATTTTACTACTATAGGCGACGAGATTAGGCTTCAACGTTTAAAGGACGAGATGACTGGTGAAGGTGGTGGTGACATCGATGAGGAAGGTGATGAGGAAGCTGGTGGAGGTAAGTATGCGAAAACAATTTTCTTTGATGCTATTCATGCGCCATCTATCATCTCTGTCTTTTCTCATTTAGCCAAGGGTTGCCTGGACGAGTACCTAATAATAAAAAAATGAGTACTTTAATAATTGTCGCTATGATCGATTTCCTCTATTTATTTTCTGGTCGCATCAACTTAGAGTGTTTGGATTTGTAATAATGGCTCTACATATCGTAATTATATACTAATAAATTGAAATATTTTCTGTAAGTCAATCTAAATCCGAATTATTATAAAACTTAGTTTTCATAAATCAAATTCCGCTATAGAAAAATTATGATCCGCAGAAGGAGAAGAAAAGCCTGAACCAGAGCAGGAATCCGTGCCCCCAGAATCGTGCCCAGCTTTGATGGTGTTCGCCAGTCCTGGAGAATTTATTGACAAACTAAGTAAATTTTACTATTAATCACATGTTATGACATTAATGCAGCACAAATGAAATTACTATGTCTATTACTATTCAAATATTTATGTAAGTAAAAAAATCTTTATGAGAGTATAGGAATCCATCTATCATTTCTAAATGCAGTACAGTGAACTCTCTAATAAATCAGTGAAAAAGTGTAGTATAGACTATATAAGTCATTAGAAAATAAAAGTATCAACTTACTTAAAGTTATATTATTGTCAAACGCACAAACAGGTAAAATGATCGATAGCAGACGAAAATTTATGTACTTTTCTTGCAGCACTTCAAGGGGGTCTCGATAGGAAGCAGTGCCTGGCGCCGTACAAGCTATATCCTGTAACGATAACAAATGAACTGACATCATTGCTGAGAGAAAAACGCTCTTCACCTAAAAGGAGTGACGAGGAAGGTGCTGGGGATGAAGAAGGTTATTTTGTACATCCTTAATGTTGTTCATATTACCTACCAAGTAGTTGTTTTTTATAAGTTATTGATATTCTAAGATTCTTAGATTTTAATGGACTGTATTTTTGTTAGGTACATACGACAAAAAATTACCACTTACAATAGGACTTATTGTCCGATGTGAATATTTTCGGAAAACACAACTGCACTCGCGTATTGTTTATATTAATAGTACATTTGTTTCCGGCGATTTTATAAGAAGTTAGGTACATGTATGTTGTATTGTATATAATTGCATAATAATCGTTGCATATCATTCTCTTTTCATATTGACTGGCCGCAAGACGACAAGTTCTATAGTTTAAATATAAAATATTCTTACGTCACTCGCTATATACAGCTCTGTTCCCTATATTTTTTCTTTAAAACAATTTATTGCTAATATTGTAGTTCATTCATTACACTAATTATTTGTTAAGGGTCTATTTTATTTTACATTTATTGGTACGGACCCCACACATGCGACATACTCACTAACGTTATACGCATTCACGAAGCGGCTGCGGGTGGGCGAATGACGTAAGCGTGTAGATGGAATTAATTTCGCATGTACCGAATGAAATATTTATAATTTTATAACAAGGATCATTAGAAACTTTCATAATGTTTTATCTGCATAATATCTGATATTTGAAATGCTGAGTTACTTAATTCATCCATCTCTTGTATAGATTCTATGGGGCAGCAGTTTCAGATGAATGATAATGCCCCGCGTGACTAGAGAGGGAACACTAGATCTATTTTTAAAAAATAAACATTATTTGTATATGTTGCTGGCAATGTTGTTGGTAACTTATCCACCATTCTTTTTAGGAATACATATTTGTATTATGTTGATACCTCTTTTTTATATTACTTTTAGCTTAGTTATGAGCGCTCTTGGGAACTATACAACAATATACAATTATTACCGATTTTAAAAAATAGTTGTAGTTTTCTTGTTCCAGTCACGCCCCATAACAGTGACAGTTGCTATCACTGTAACTATCATTTCGTTATCAAACATCTTATGATATGACATTTATGGTCATTACTGAAATTATGTACAAAATTTTACCACTATTCAGCAAGCATCAAATCGTATTTTATCTTTTATCGGTTTACTATGTTTCTCAGTTGATGATGAAGCCCTGATAGATTCACTAGACGACACTGCAATAGGCAAATACTTCACAAGACTTGGACGAGCCGTTGCATCCCTGAGAGGCAGGGTGGCACAAAACGAAAACTATTTTATGGATCAGCCTAACAGAGACAATCAGGTCAGGAAAGACAAAATTATGTAACACCATTTAAATGATGCTCATTTTTTAATGGTCACCTTAGATAGATAACTATATTACAAGTTCAGCCTTTAGTGAAGCATCCAATGTTTTATCAGCATCGTCTATCTACTCTGTCTATCCAGCGGTATTTCTAAGATCTGCCTGAAATGTTGGTACTATTACTATCTTTATTTCTGTTCGCATATGTAACAAAGAACTAGAAAATATATCACAACTCAGAAATACATTCGAACCTTTTTTCTAGTTAAATACAGAACTACATGTTCAGATTTATATCTTTATATGATGTTAGATTTAAAAATAAGAGTATATACAATAATAAATAAATACAGGATGTAACCAATTCCATAATGGGCATAGTCGTCGAACATATTGAACCGTATATCCATTGGAAACCACAGTTGATTGATGCGATACTAAAATATGGAGATAGATTATATACCAGCTCGCTACCCAAAGCTTCAGCGCCTCCTAAACTTCAAACCAGTGAAGTGGAAAAGGAATTCCATGTCACCAACTTCAACGTAAGTATTCAAGTTATAACGAAGAAAATGTAAAATATATATTTCTATATCTCTGTATTTGTATGAAAAACTGAATAAGCTCTTCAAAAAAACTATGCTTACCTATTGTTGGCAGGTGAGACTGGATGTTGAGGCTAATATTGTGAACGGTGATATAAAAGCAGGCGAGTCTGGTGGAGTACTAAGTTTGAAGAACGGACTCATTAAATTCTTTGAATCGGTATTTTGTTTTCTATTTTGATATTTATTGCTACCATAGTTACACCACCACTTAAGTACTAACAAAATTTATCTCTAAAGCAATTGAGTGCAGAAATGTATGTGCCCTCATTGATAAATAAGCCAGCTAATATTCTGATATATATTTAGTAGACTTGAAAATAGTTTTAAATCAACTGACCAACTGACGTACTAATTTTTGCAATACACATGGTGTTGCAAAAATTAGTACGTCAATGGAGTTCTAATAGCAATATTCAGGAACTTTTTGCAGAACAAATACGGAGTTCTTTGCGCAAAGGACTATTGCGTAGGCATATGGATGGCAGCTGATGATAGAGCCTACTGCCTTTGGGAACCACATTCCGTTGGTCCGGGTGGTAGAACATCTCCTGGAGGTGCAGCAGCCTTAGTACTATTCTCAACTATTGATGAGTTAGCAAGTACAATTAAGAGTAATGTGGAAGCACTCGGTAGACCTGGATCTAACAAGTGAGTTAATGCTTTGTATTTTTTTTTATTTCTAGATAGGTAACCTGTTTACTAATAAAGGCTCTCTAAATATAAGTTGTATTGTCGAAACTTATCAAATATTGCACTTTTGTGCAATGATTCTTGAAAATATACAATTTTACTAATCTGTATAGCAATTTCCAATGTAATTTACTATTATACTTAATAAATACGTTTTTAGATTCTCTATCTCATCGGTCAAGGTATTCTGGGAGTTATCTAAGACGCCCGGTGCTGTAACAGCTCAGGGTACTATACCCGATGAGGGGTACGAGTGGAAGGTACTCACCGCTTACGTGGAGACAGCCCGAGGGAGAACTATTCTAAGAGGAACGAGACCTCCAGATCTAATCAAGTAACCATACTCATTTATCTTAAAAAAATCAATTCGCAATAGCTTAGTAACCGAGGTAGACTTGTAAAAAGTAGTTTGCATTGGTACCTTATATATTTTAGCCGCTAGATAGATTGCTTACAAGCTATATGTCTATTGAAGGTAGATATAATGCAGTAAAATTACATGATAAGGAATATGACATCTTAGTCCTACGGAAGGGCAACGCATTAGCTATACACATGAGTAGCCTATGGATATCACATGTTAACGTGATATCTATTATGCTACTCATGTATATAGGCGACGGTTACCATATCAGTAAGTGGTAACCGTCGCCTATAAGTATGAGCATTTGCTGTCAGCTTGATTACCATTGTATTTACATAAAAACATTAAATAGTATAACATTTCCCAGTACAATGCTGTAAATGTATTAAAATACACCTACTATATCCCAGATTTATATTGAGCAATAAAATAACATTGTAAATGTAGTATATCTCCCGAGGTTCGACGCGAGACTACAGCATGGGGTTTTTCAAGAAGGGTACATTAAAAGTTTCTCATTGGTCAGTAACGCGCACATGGTGCCTGGTGCTACCGTTTACCATCAGATGGGCCGTATGCTTGTTGCCACTATCGTAGTGTAAAAGAAGTGCAGAATGGAATTCTAAATCAGGTTCACTCGTGATGCTCTGCTTCAATCTGCATGCGGTGCCATCGTGGCAGCATGCATGTCATACATACGACGCCCTCACCTCTGGACGAGGAATACAGTGGACGAAGTGATGGCAGTTGGGTGCCAATTGTTTGCCGCTTCATTGGCATCTTTGGGGTATGAGTTTCGACCTGGAGAGGACGTTTTATTGCCATTACAAGTGAGTAACACGAGACACAAACTAACAGATCTTTTGATGATTTCTTGTAAGTAAATACATTCTTATAAGTAAATACTGTTATCAGCAGCTTTGTCTGCACAAATTTTCACCCCTTATTACGACTCTTCTATTAACTACTAAAAGTTTTAAAAAGATATCAAATAGACAGGAAGACAAAGATACTTTTGTATTTTTAAGATAGATAAATTTTTTCATTAGGTATTTCTATATATAAGGTAGCGGTTTCTATGTTGATTAATGTATACTTACTTGGAACAACACAAGAAAAGAGCAAAACGCAAGTTTCTTCTGATTCTTCTTGTGATGAGCTGCGTTCGAAATGAGTGGTGGAATAAAAGATGTGACTATTAAAAAGTTCTTATATAAAGTTTATTTGAATAAATATTATTCATATTTCTTACCTGCCTACTTACCTACTCTACCACTTTAAGTAGTATATTGAAGTTATATTAATAATTTTACAGGTATTGAAACGTTTCGTTCTGGGTGTGAACTACGTGCGATATGATCTTGATGCCGTGTACTCTGGCAAGTTAGAGCAAAAGGAGCCGACTGGCATGACTGTTCGGTGAGGAAAATATAAAGATTAAATAAAAAAATACATATTATTTTTATCTAAATATTGATAATTTATCTACATGAATTAATTACATAATCGAAGCACATATCTAAATGGAATTACCATGTGTATGAACTGTAGTATTCTACTGTCCTTTATATTGCCTCAACTGTATAAGTACTGTATCTCTATCTCGGGCTTTTCTACCGCAACCCACTTTGTATTATGATTCATAGTAGATATTTTTTATGTATTGCAATAAATAAAGATGTTAAATACAATAATATTTTAGTTAAGGTTTTTATGTTGTGTAACTATGACAACTATATTACATTAATATGTATTTTTTTAATAAGTAGTTAAATTGTTCAGATGTGCACTAGAGCGCTTCTTTGAATCTCACAATCATGGAATTCTGTGGTCGGTACCACATGCAGTCGCTGTGTGGAGGGTAGCTGGAGCACCAGCATTTTATATGATGGAACCTCACGCCTGTGGCCCAACTGGATTAAGAATAGATGCACAGGTAGTATAACTTTATAATAAATACTGTGTGCAATATTTTTATCGCTAATATATATAAATTAGAGATCTAAAATAATTAACGATAATGATGATGATAAAAATTAGAAAAATCTTTGGTTTTTCACTAAGTCTTTATGTACCTTTATATAAACATATATGATTTCTGGTTTCTATAGATATAGTAAAGTTAACAAAGAAAATGTATCACCATATCAATTGTGTAAATACCTAAGATTTTCTAAAATGAGATATGTTTTCCCAATTTCAATGTTTGATCTTCCAGGATGATGGAGCAGCCTGTGTTTTGACGTTTACTTCAGCGAAACTAATGGCGTTCGCGTAAGATTATTTATACTTCATATTGGAAAGGTTTCTTCAGAACAATATATATATATATACTACATTATACTAGAATATGTATATTATATATACATCTGTGAAAAGGCAAGTATCTCCTAAACTACTATTAGGTAAACCAAAATGGAGTACGTAGAGAAAACCAAGGTTGAAGGTTCATATGAGTATCATTACAGAAACGTAATGCACATACGTTGGCTATCTTTGGTACCAACAGAGTTTCCTTTTTATTTATTGGTAAATAATTATTTCACTATCTAATCTCATTATACTGCAGTAAAATACACTGGAGGCATACAAGGTATGTAGAGAAATTACGGCTTAGGTATTCTCTAAAATATTATTTTGTCAAATGTATGTTTCGATTTCCACTTCATATCCCTGTGTGAGGTACCAGTTAGCTTTGACCTATGTATTAATGTTCTTCTATCGCTTTCTAAATATGGTAATGAGATATAAATTCTCCATCTATCATCTTTGCCTTACAGCTATCTTCAAAATATAACAGTAAACGAACGTCTAAAGCACGATTTCCAACTATATGCCATGACGGTAACAGTGCACCCCATAAAGCCTCTTGGCGGGCTCGACCCACCATTAGTAAGAGCGATATCTGGAGTGAAAGTTGTACCAGCTACTAGCAAGGTAAGTTACACTATTCAAAGCAGTTATTTATAACTTATTTAGAATAAAAAAATGTATCGATTATTCAGTTCACTAAAAGCATTCAACATATCAGGGAAACAGAGAATTAGAGAACTGATACGAATTATTAAAATCAATACTTCTCGCCGCCCCCTCCCCCTCCCACCTCCAGCTCCCCTCCCTCCCCCTACGAGTTAATAAATAGTTTGTCTATGATTATGTTGTTTTCGGCAGAACTGTATTTAAATTTAATGTAATGTAAAATTTCAGAAGTGTTAGTTCTTAAACAAAGTAATGTGTTTGTGAATTTCTTGACAATTCATATTACGAAGATTGTGGTTTTAGGTAAACTGGGATGTAAATAATATTCGCTGATGAAGTAAGTAGTGCAAAGCTAAATGTTATTAATATGGACAGATTGGTATTGATGGTGCAAAACGTCGCGCGGATGAGAAAGATCGAAAGCACCCTCCGGGCCGCGCCACTTGTATTGACGCCCAGCGGGCGGCGGATAGAAAGGACAAAGAACAAAATAAACTCAAAGGTTTTCAATTAATTATACATGTATGTAATATTGAGATTTCAAAAGATTTTCTAACTTGTAAATACCTTAATTAAAAAATTTCCTGCAATTTTATATAGTTAATAAACACATTCACAGGATATATCTAGGAAACCATAGTATAGAGTATATTGTTGTCTTAATTTTGAAAGGGCTTGCTAAATTAATCTCGAGAAACACTATTTGAACTTGTACAACATTAAAATAACGAATTATTCCCACTAGGTCAAAGAAACACCAGCGGTTGGCTGGTCCTCAATGACGGAACACAGTTCTTGTCAGCGCAGCACTCTATGGCCTGCAAGAAGTTCCCATATGCATCCAGGGGTTATCAGGTATTATAATTATCTTCCATATAGCGTGTCATGATAAGGGTACCTTATGTCTTCACACACATATAAGGCAGTACAATTATTTTCTCATGTGGAACTAAAGATTATTTCATGACTTTTAAAAGTATAAAGAATAAAAAGTGTTACCAATGTGTAAGTATACTTTTAGGGCGGAAATCACGAAAAATGGAAAAAGAATTTTCTGTAAGCTTAGATTCAAATTATTTCCATTATAATATAATTCCTAATTTTATGGACTTATTAAATGTCTCTGAATTTGATTTTATTTCTTCATTCTATTATTCATCTTTATAGAGTACTAGCTACCTGCCCCGACTTGGCAGGGGTACAGGTATTATATACATATAAAACTTCCTCTTGAATCACTATCTATTGCTAAAAATTGTTACGTAGTTCAAAAATACGTAAACGGAGAACAAAAGCGACTTCATTTTATACTATGTAAAGACATAGCTCTTTATAATATAATTACTTCAACTAGTTGATAAATATGTTGTTATTACACCAGATTTATTATATTCTATATTGGTATTCCATTCACCCTCCCTTCTTCAATATGATTTAACAATCAATAAGAAATTTGAAATTGTTTAAAGCTATTCAAACAAACAAGCAACCACATAATAGTAGCAGATGTATTAAGACAGTTCTTATAAGTATATTATGCAGTCATAATTAAACCTCACCAGGCTATTGCATGTGCCGTGATGGCCGTTGCAATGTCTCGCGTAGAAGACGTCTGCCGTTGGTGTTCCTCGACCCTGGATCAAGTGCTGGAGAGCGGAGACCAGTTGTACCAAGACAGCTATTTACACTACCATCCGCCTACTAAGATTTTAAATATGCAACAGGTGAGCAGACGATGATAAACATTGTAGTACAGTCTTTAAGTAGACACAACCATTCTGAGGGAAATTGATTCGGAAAACGAAATATTCTGGGGAATTGAGAGACTCTTAACACCATTGACATTTTTTTTTAATTTACAACGTTTTCAATTACTGACCTGTCAATTCCTATCGGGGTTTGTTTGCAGGCAGTTCTCTCTTATTTACTAAGTAGGTACATCTATTATTTTAATTTATATCTACACAAAATACTGCATTCCGCTTTTACATTATATGTTACTTACTACTAAATTAAGATAAGTATTTTTTTATATGTATGTTAAGTTTCTAGATCATCGTGTTCTATACATATAAATAAAATTGGAGTGTTTGTTTATAACATTTTTTACAACATGCATTTGAATATAAATACGGTACATTCACCATAATATCATTTTTTTTCTGTCTGTCTGTTTGTTCTGGCTAATCTCTGAAATGGCTGGACCGATTTTGACGGGACTTTTTTGGCAGGTAGCTGATGTAATAACGAGTAACTTAGGTTACTTTTATTTTAAAAAATTAAAGTTAAATTACACGCGGACAAAGTTGCGGGAACAGCTAGTATTATACTATAATTCATGCTCAAATTCAATACTCATGATTGACAAATTTATTTTCAGATTCTACGTAAATTCTATACGCCTGGTAACTGCGTGTGTAGAGTGGTGGTGTACACCCCCAGACAAGTAGGGAACCTTGACAGTGATCTAGTTCAGAAGGTAAGTAGGAAGTAACATTAATTCTGATCTAAAGTATGCATCTTAGTGATATGCACGTAAAAGTATATATTTATAACAAGACTACAACGAATTGTGAGACTATATAGATTTCTAAACTAATGAAAATAGGTATATTTTTTAATTTTATATAGCAATTTCGAACCTATATAAGACGATTCCATTAAATAATAATACGGCCTTGGTAGTCTAGCGGTGGTTTAGCATGCTGTACTCCCGATGGTCACGGGTTCGATTCGTCGCACAGTGCAAACATTTGCATATGAAACATTTGCATATGAATGCAAATGTTTGCACTGTGCGACGAATCGAACAATCATACCCATGAGGGTATGATTGTTTGTATCGGTCTAGGTGTTTTCTGTGTGTATTATGTATGTATTTTCAAAAAATAAATCCGTGTATTTAAATCAGCTGTCTGGTACCCGCAACACATGCTCTGGTTACCGTGGGACAATTGTCCAGGAATCTTTATTTATTTAACGAAAGATTCTAATATAAAAATGAAACAAAAATAAAAGGAGTTATCGTTAGCTGGTTGCCAATAGGGACTTAATCTCTCGTAATATGAATTTGAGAGAACTGATGATAGACAGATCTATCGGGTTAAGATTTTGCGTTGTCCACAGACACAAACTTTACGATGAAGCGTTCAACTTGCTTTAATTCCAGCTTGCTCTATGGGTCGTCAAACTGGACTCCTCTTGTGCTATTAGAGAATAAAGAAAAAGAAATATTTATTTTTAATTTAAACATATTATACGAAAAATTAATTACTGTACGTAGTTTTATAATATGTGGCAATTATAGGGGAAAAACACCTGAAAATAACTTGTTGTTTATAGGTGACTGAGTTCTTTAGAGAAGAAAAATCGGGTGTATTCGTCGCTGGGAAGGGGGACTTTGCTGTAGCCCTATTCAGAACTTCGAGAGGTATTGTTAAATGTTACAATTTTGTGAAGCTAATAATATTATTAATTTTATCTCATCCAGCATTTAGATTTTACATTGTTCCCTGGTAGTAACATTTATTTTTTTATTAATTTGTTAATTTGTATTTATTAATTTATTTATTTGTGTGTAAAAGTAGTTGTGTATAGTTTTTGTATTGTATATTATATTTAATATCAAATATTGTAGTTCTTTTTACATCTTTGCAGGGTATTACATGTTCGATCCGGCTGACAGGGATCGCTATGGGCGTGCGGTGGCGCCCCCTTGCCGCGGACGAGCAAGGGCATGCTTTTCACAATATTCCAATGTAAGCAAACTATTAAATTGGATTCAGAATCTTCAGATAATGCAATACAACAATGCGGTTTGAGTAAAGCGATCTTTTTCCCTTATTTATGGATATGACATTGTATTATAGTTGTGACAGCATCACAGTTAAATATCTCCTTTGGAAAGTACATACTCTGTCCTGAGCAGATAAAAACCATCGCTCCTCGTATAAATTCTTCAATTTTTGTCCCTAACGGGTCCAGGTAGCGAACGAAAAAGCTTGTATAAGTGGAAAAACAACTGTACTGATTTTGATGAAACCTTACAGTAATATAGCTTGTACATCAAAATAATATGTAGGCTATAAATTTCACGAGGGTGAAACCGCGGGCACAGCTACTTATACATAAAACCGTTCTACAGTTCTATTCAGTCCTTCTCCTACTTTTACTCAACGGTTGAATTAATAACTGAACGTCCATCTTATAAATTCAATACGTACTTAATTGACAAGAAATAAAGAAAATCTCGATTTTGTTATGTAATGATAATGACAAACGTGGTGATATGACGAATATTACGTTATCATATAACGGTAGCGATACGGCTCATACATTTCCTTTGGCAGAGGACTAAAATGTCATCCTTTCCTCATCATACAATCGAAACGGCTTATGAAACAAGCTGCTCTGTGGCTGCAATAGGTGAGGTACACACGCAGGCGACATGCGCTGGAAATTAAGGAAATCTTTACATTTATATAGAGAGTAGTGCTCTGGTATACATTGTTTAATCTTATACCATACGTGGTTTTATAATATAGTAATTCGTTGTAGGTACAAACTCTAGCCGAGAAGTTGGGGCCCAATATACCACCTACGGTTAATGAAACGGCTCATTACGATAAAGAGGTAAATGTACAATACAAATGTACCTGTATAATTGTTGTATAGAATATTTAAATTACACATATTGCCAGTTTTATGTTGTACTTACTTACATAATCTTCAAATAGTATAAAATAGTAGAGAAATAAACATTAATAAAAGAAACTTGACGTTTTTAAACCACTAAAATGTCCTATATGAATTACATTTGATTTAAGTTGCTATTTTCGTCTATCCATCACCTCACTTCTTCTATATCGAGTACGAGGATATTTTCATCTCAATACAAGTTTGTACAAGATTGACCGAAAATACGATAAAGTACGAGGTAAGAGAGCCAAATTGAGATGACATACCACTTTTTATTTTTTCGAAGCAAAGTATTTTAAGGTTGGCAACCCTGCCATGGATTTTAAAACGGTTTTCACCATCATTTCGAGAAGTACTTCCTTACCGTTTATGTATAAGACATGAATACTGCTATCTTCACATATACTGTGTACGTGCGGAGTCGAGTGCCCAGTAATAAATACTATAAAGAAAAAACATAATTAGGTACGTCTTATATTTGTTTCACAGGTCACTGTATTTACTGATAAAACTAAAGAAGAACCCAATAAAGATGAAGATAAAGAGGTAATTATTAATTTATTAGTAATGTACACACCAATAGGTATATTTATTTATTTCAGACTAAAAAAGGCCCTAATCGTAAATATCTTATACACTAACATATGTACCTAATAATTAATACAAATTGTGTTTACGGCAGTGACGACGGCAATCTGCCACGGTAGCGCCGATACACCATAATACCATACCACCCCTAAATATATTAAAATTATAAAAACGATTTATGATTCTGTTTGAATTCGTATACAGAATTAATATATAACGTTTTTTTCGTATTTATATTACTTAGTACTTCTATAATCATTCCGAACTACGGCCAAGTTAGAATAGTTCGAGAAAGTAGTCCCGCATTCAATAGCTAAATTAAGGAGAGATTATTAATTTTACATTATTATTGAACAAGGTACACTTTGAAGAGCCAGCTAACTTTGCTATATATGGCATGGATGTGACCAGCTTACGTAGACTGAATCAACACGAGCGGTAAATACACTTGATATCGATAACTTCTTATTTCACACTAGCGCCACCCGCCTACTTCTGAAACCCTGGAAACTGTGATACCTTTATAAATATATATTATTATATTTTCTACTGTCTTAAACTGAAGCTAAAGAAATGATAGGCTTTATTTTATTAAGAGAAAATTGTACGAGATAAAACTACACGGTGATTTTTTCTTGTCAAATTTACGACTATGTGTTTTAAATATTTATATGAAAATAGTATTTCAGAGATGATAGAATATGGGATGCTGTTTATTCTAATAATTAAATCGAACCACCATTAAAGTTACTTTAGTTTCAAGAAAATTATTAGCTTACACAGCCATTACGGATAGCTATATATGCTAATAAGTTTCATTTTGCTTAATTTCTTGAGTGATATTTTTACCCTACAGTTTCAAATTAGGAGTCTATTAAGTATAATTTAAACTCATTTTACTTCTTACTGCTGAAGTAATTCTGCCAATAAAAACCTGAAGATGCAATAAAAGCATAATAGACAAAAATTATATACATAATACCGAGTATATAATTTTTGTAGTTGTAAGGACTCATAAGCTTCATAAAACATACTGACAAAGATTGTATCAATGATTTTAATATTATTTTAATTTTTAGTTATTGTTCAACTATCTGACTAAATTAGAGGACATTTCATAATATAAGCTTGAATGAAATAATTAAATTACTCTCTGTATATGTATATGTAAGATCTGTCAATTTCTTTATTCTGGCTCTATTAATAAAAAGGCACGGAAACGTTAGTGTGAAATGAGAGCACATAAAAATTGTGATGTTAGTGTACTGTAAACTTATGCCACACGCTCTATTTGGAACTAAAGTTTTGTAATAAAATGTAATTTATAAAACAGTCTTTTAATGTACACTGAACTCTATAACATATCCTCGGAGTATTTATAGATAAAAGTGCCTAATGTCTAAAACTGTAACTTTGTATTGAGACCTGCGCATAAAATATTAATTTGATAAATATGTGCTCGATGATAGAATGAATTCAGTTTAATACCCACGATGGCGATATGACCTAGAATTAATATTTTTGTTTTAGGAATTGAAGATTAACCGCTCCCTATAATTACCCCATATTATTTTGAGATAGTTTTAGACCACTCTGTATTATGCCCTCACTATCAGGCGTTTCGGGTTATACGAATTGTTCTTTTTATGCCACTAACTGTGGACTTTGTATATACATATGTATTTATGCTCGTATGTTCTATATACATATGTATTTCAGTCGCCATGCAGTTTACTTTGTAAAATTTAGTTTAAAGTATAAGGAAATAAATACAGGGCACTGAGCATGACATTAGCCCATCGGAATGGCATGTGGAATGTCAACAATTTTATTTGAAGTTGTGTCAATTTGATTGAATTTGATGTGGAATTCCTGAGCACATTCGTATCTTCACGTTTTTTTATTATATATATATATATATATATGTATATATATATATGTGTCGCCGCAGCTACATTATAACCCACAAAGGAGAATGAATGACGTATCTGCTGTTGATTTACCATATTGATTACCAAATTGAATCACATTCATTACATCTTTAATATAAAGACGATAGATGGAGCCACCATGCGGCTTAATATCAACTCATAATCACTTCAATTAATGCCGCTAGATGGCGTCATTATCACTCCTTTTTTAATAACTTATGTTTGTTGTTTAAAATTACTGAGTATAGTAAAAACTACATTAAATATTAAAATTTATTATGAATTAAGCAATTGTTATGTGAATTGTAAATAAATTTATCTATGTCAAGCGAATGTCGGATGTTGCGTAACGTCCGCAATTTGATTGCGGATTTCCTTCACAATAATTAAAATTTTGATAAAATGTTGTAACCATTTTAAAAAATTAAGGCGTCACCTGGATTTAAATTTAAATAGCAAAAAGTTATTTTTAATAATAATGTAACGTTCAATTATTCTGCATTTAAGTTGTTAACTAAAATCACTACACACACTTCCGGATGATTCAGTTAATAGTGTAAGTCAAATTTATTAATACTACAAGTTTGTGGCTTTATTTCATTGCTAATATTATTACAATAAGTAGTCGGTAATTTAAGTAATTATGTCGCTTTTAGTTATTGTTTAATTATAAGCCTTAGGCAAAAATTGTATTTTACTTCCGGCACTGTGGCGATCGACACCTTCCGACTTGAGCGCGCGTTCAAGTGGGACCAGGACAAGACCAGCCATGTGGTAAAATCCCACGATTTTACCACATGGCTGGTCTTGTGAATAAGATTCATTCTGTGTTCGGTGCTTGAGCGGCGTGGAAGTAAGTTGAAAACTCTTGTTACTTTAGCAAAATCGATTTGTAATTATAATCACATTAGAAAAGTATTGTGTTATAAAATAAAATGAAAGATAGACTGTAGTTTTAATCATATTTATACATTATTATTATATTGTAATAAACTAATCTATTTTCGATTGTGTTCTTTTATTATTTTAATAAAATGTTAAACTACTACTAGTAGGACCGATGATCATGTTATAGGTTAACGGTTCTGCAGCGTTTTATAAAAGTATTCTTGCGTTTTTATTCCGACATATATATATATTATTGCTAAAGTCGTGGTATTACTAGTAAGGTAGTAATACTTTCACCTAAAGCCGGATTAACCATTAGGATCCCTATGTAATACAATTACAGCCCTTCTCTATTATAAAAAAGAATTGAAAAGGGTTTTTTTTTAATAATAATAACTATTCCAGGTTATTAAATACCAGGCATAAAACTATAGATGGAGAACATTTTATATATGATTATACAATGTTTTAATTTTATTTTTACTTTAAATGCTATTTTGTAGCCGTAGGAATCATGTCGAACAATTGTATATACAATTTTACCAAGACTCCGCTCGCCATCCACAGGGAATTCATGCCCACACGCTAGAACCTAAGTGGTTCCGGACAGTGCGGTTTCAGAAGAACATCCTCCCTACGTACACTGAGATTGTAGAATGAAGTGCCTGGCAATGTTTTCTCACGAGACTGCAGCATGGGGTTATTTAAGAAGGGTATATTAAGGTTTCTTAAGACGACGCATCACAAATACCTATTGGCGTTAGAAATCTCATCTTTTCTCAGCAATTACAAATCCTTGGGATGATATTTAAGTATTTCATTTTTCACTACTTTAACATCATAACCATTGTATTTCTCGTTATTGGATTGATTAACTTTTGTAGCAGAGAAAAAATCTCAAAGATTGATCTCATAAAATATAGATTTAATTAGTATAAGTTTGATTTAATTAGTAGAACTGATTTAAGACTCGAATTTTCCAATATAATGTATATTGGAAAATTCGAGTCTTAAATCAGTTCTTTCTTTTCTTAAATCAAATACTAAGTACACACTTAAATAGAACCATTCTGATGTATATAATAACCAATAGTTTTTATTTTAAATAAAATAAACTGTTTTTCCGCACAAAATCTCTTGCTCACAAGTAGTTTTGTATGTATGAGAGTTAGACCAAGTCAGTCAGTCCCCGGCCATTGCTAAAGTCAGACTTGTGCTTAGCGCCCATAGCGCGCCTGAGATCGCGCACTATCCAGTCATAAATTATTTCGTCATACTATACTGTGTGCGCTGTAGCATGGTGCGAATGACAATGAAGAATGTTAATAGGTATGCCAAATCGGTTGAACGTTTGGTATAATAAAGCTTGTATGTATATAAATATATTCATTTTTGTTTTAGTCAAAAATACCCATTAGTTTTTATTTTATAGGCATTTAAACTTACAATAAATTTCGAGTCCCGCTAACAGTCACGCTTCGCTTAGTAGCGAGTCGCCGAGTTTGTGCAATATTTTGTTTTGTTTTCATCCACGCATTACGTTAATATTCTATTAATGAAATGGATGAAGGAGTCGAAAAAGGGCAATCGGATGATCTGCCTAAAATAGATGCACTAATAGGTTGCCCATTATTTATCAACAAATAGTGATTTCATTGCCGCCGAAATGCGAGGAATAAAAATGCAAAGGTAAGTTAACATTTCTTGCTATTTTGAATTATATTTTTGAATTGCTGTTTTAAAGTGTTCTTTTAAAACAAATACCCAACTGATGTCGTATTGCAAGTATTGCAACTCAAATAGGCAGAAGTACCAAATCTAAGGTTTACGTTATAGACAACAAATGTGTGTTAAGAGTTTTATGTCTATAGATACGTATGTACATATGTGAATATAGGTACCTCTTTTAGTAAATTTAACTAAACATATATATACATTGATTTATTGCAAATGTAGTGGGTTGAACAGATGTACTAAACCTTTTTTTAATTTTGATTTGTCTTATTAATAGGCCGTTTTATTTATTTTTATTTGTAACTTATTCCAGGTCTGCAAGAGACAGCTTTGGTGATGATGCTATCGGTTACATACAAGTAAAAAGAGCAAGATATTTGTACGGTCCAATGTAGAATCATGCGCGAACACCGCGTGCACGTACGCGGTGTTCGCGCGTTATCGTTGCAGTTTAGAATGTAATGAAAAGGACCACGAAGTTCCGCCAACAGAGGCTGTAAACTTACTATAGCATTATTAATGTGGCTACATCGTCGAAGAGAGGACTTAACGACTATTATCAAATTTGTTGGATTTTTGTGGTTATAATAAATTATAACTATTATTTTAGTGGTTGTATTTGTACATTTCGGCATAACACATGATTTTCTAGCATTTGGTTTGGTTATATTTGAAGGTATTTATAATTTCTAATGAAACGTAAGACGCCTCCGTGCTGATAGCTCGAGCGGACAGAGCGAGTGTTGTACTATTACGTCACACCGTCACACGAGTCCGCATCGCTATAAACCAGAAACTAATTGACGTATTGAAGTAATTCTTTCATTATATATTTTATTTTTCACAGAGAATATGGAGAGCTAATATTCAAAATTAGTTAACATTCTTCATTACTAATTTTACATTTAACAATTGCTACATTTTAGTTAATACAGTTATTAATGATTTAATATATTACGAATGAAGTACAGCTGAAATACTAAGTCCTAATTTGTAAATCAAAGGAGTGAAACGAAACCTTAATGAAACTCACGCGTACCACATTACAGCGCACAGGCATATGATATAGTGAAAATTAATTGTTATAAATGAAAAACAAAAGGTAAGTATTTTTAAAAAGAAAACTTATTTGAGAGAACAATATAAGGAAATGGTTACGTAAATATAGACAAATTTTGCATTAATTTTATTTCGTAGTTTTTTTATAAATAAAAATGAGGTATTTACTTTTAAAAATCTTATTATTATACGCGGTGGCGTGGCGCGCGGGGCCCGATTTTGTAATTAATATTTATCGCGGCGTCGCTTTAAAGGTCGGAAACGCGCACGTAATACCCCTGGTGTCTCAGGAGTCCATAGGAGCATTACCATTTACCATCAGATGGACCGTATGCTTATTTGCCACCATAGTAGTATAAAAAGAAACTATTTATTGATGGAATATTTTTCAATGGGGCTTTACACTGGTTTTTAGTTTGTTAATTCTTTTCAAGTTGATGAAACGATGTGAATTACTCCAATCACATCATTTTGTGCATGCTCGTGGCCCCGTAGACCACCCGGGGCCCTTGGGCAGTTATGTGCTCTGTACTGGAAATTAATAATGTCAAGTACTATTGCGTGAAAGTAATACAATATCGACGTTCTACAATCATACAAACTTAGTATTTGCAGTGCAATATATATTTCAGGCAAATCTTTTATCGATGACTTCGTAATGATGATAAGGCACTGGCTCTCTCGGCAAAGGTATTGTCGGTAATGGTCTGGACTTGTTACGTTGTTTGATCTTGTAATCGCGCATACGCTGATAAATAATCCTCGCAATTATTGAGATTATAGCAAGGCTAACTATACACCCGGCAATGATGCCTCCTGGAAATAAGTTAAAAATATACTTGTAATACAAATTCAGAGCTTTAAATGATAAGATTTTTATGATTAATATCATGACTGCTTTTAGAATAACCATTATACAGGGTTACTGGAAACTAGACGACGTATTCCCGTCAGGAGGTGATAGAGGAGCTCAAATGCAATAATTTTGACCCTCTATTTGTTTGGCCGAAAGTTTGATTTTCAAGTTATTCTGAATTTTTGTGAAAAATATCCAATTCAGCGTCTTTTGAAACATTATTAAAAAAAATGGCTTGTTGAATATCTTTCAACGTAATTTTTATGTATAGAGGCTTCGTAACAAAACATAACTCACAAAATACCCATGAATTCTTAATAAGTAATTACTACAAATATTTTTTTTATAAATTATTACTTGTGTTTAAGTGCCACGTAGTTTAAAAACATTGACTCTAAGCGTACAAATTACTGGGCAGTTTCCAGTAATTCTGTATTTAACCTTAAATCATAAGGTCTACGTTTATTCTTAAGGGTGCAATATCCCAGTTTTTAATAAGGTTTTTTTAACATAATTCATTAATTAAAGAGTAAAGGAATGTTTCTAAAAATTATTTTTGAGAGTAAAGTATACAAAGTTCAACTTGCAATTATCATAATAACCATCACAATTCACACGACGCCATCTAGCCGCAAGCTAAGCACAGCTTGTGTAACATATAGGTAGTAGATTACTGAAAAAATATTTAAACACACTTTTTTTTGTAAATACGTACCTACCTAATATAAGGACTCAGGAATTAATACAAATGTTTGTATTGTGTGATAAATCAAACCCACAACCGTCGTAAGTAATAGCCCAAGAGCCCACGACGGCAAGACATACGTCATATTCTTAAAATAACGAATTTGATATGAATTTTTTTACACCTTTGTTACCTGTTACCTGCCAAAGGAACCACGATCCAGGTTTCATGTTTGGGGATCGTTCTTACCTGTGTTGGGGACACACATACAAGAACTTTCACGTTTACTAATATGACGTATGTCTGGCCGTCGTGGGCTCTTGCTCTATAAGGCAGTGTACTAAACCGCTATACCACCGAGACTGTTGAATGATATAATCATAAATCATCGTCATATAGTTTTACCTTTAGAAGGCTTATTTTTCAGTGGATTTTCATTAATGATAAACCTAATTTTTTTAAAGGTTCGTAAGCATTTATTTCTTTCTGAAATGACTTTGCATGTTATTGTGATACAGTACAACATTGTGTTGTTATCACTTCTTTTCAGCAAGACAGTACTGTTGACTTCTGATGACTTTACTACATGTGGCATTGTATTGTTTTCTGTAAAAAAAATAAGTATGTAAATACTATTCATTGGACCTGATGTATCTAAGCTTGATGATTTTATAATAAAAAGCAATTATTTAATAATAACCAAGTAATCAACAGAGTAATAAATATCTATTTGTTACTCTGTTGTTCTTGTGCCTAACTTACCCTTAATTTCAATAAAATAACAGTTTACGCAGTTCAATTCAATCTCTTGATTTTCAGCGTAGTAAATATCTTCAACATCCACATTTGTAGTTATATTATCTGCAATATAAAATATATATACATAGAATCCCTTCTGATTTTATAAATTCGAAAATGTAACTATTTAGGTACTCCCATTTCATGTCTAAAAAGCAAAAAATTATCTTAATGAAAAAAGAACCAAGATTGGACAAGGAAGACAAGGAAGAACGATATAACAGGCTATTCTATATTTCTAAAAAACAGACAGTCGCAGGAAACGGCCAGTGTAATGAATTAAAAAGTTATATACAAAAATGTTATTCTCTAAAACTATTTATACTAATATTATAAATCTGATTGTCTGTCTGATTACTAGTTTTTCAGACTTAACAGCTAAGAAAAACGGTTCGCTCCTTATCAGTGAAATCAGACGTGTCAAGTGTTGCGTTTACCACTTGCGGTCCCCCACAGTGCGATTTTCTAGAAACTTTGCCACGCACAACCACATTGTGGAATCACCTTCCAGCATTGATATTTCCGAACCGATACGATATTGAAACCTTCAAGAAAAGAGCTTATTCCCTTTTAAAGACCCCTGGTGTACATCTTCAGGTGAGCCGCATGTTCATTTATATTATGTGTTATAAAAAAAAACGACGTCGACAATTAACCAAACCTCTGACTACTGTATCTGGTAGTCGTAATGGTAATATTTTACGTTAGGTGGGGCGCCACCTGCAGTCTTTGATAGCGGTTGTGTTGTCACTTTGAGCTTTAAAAAAATTAGATAAACGTACTAATTCATTCTGAAAAGTATATGTATATACTTACAAACCTATTTGTGATACAGTGTATACGGTGTTATCCAGTCTAAATTCAGTGTCTTGTGAAAGAAAAACGGAATCAAACCACTAACGAAATCCGGATTACGTATTTACCGGATTTCGTTAGTGGTTTGATTACCTTATAATAATATTTTATGGCCGCACTTCAATCAGTGATACATAGTTTTGATACAAGTAACGCCATCTCACGACGCTTGGAGGGAAAACATAAACAATATCCACTACAAATGGCTAAGTGTAATAAAAATGTAATCCGGAACAACAAACCTGATACTCCAGTTAGGGGTCCTCAACATTTTGTGTCACAAGGCACCCCTGCGGAGAACATGGCTATGGACACTAGCATTTTTGATGACTCCCTCGCCGAATCGAAACACAACTCAAATAGTGAAATTATGACTGAGCTTGGATTTATCAGAGACGAATTGCGTGCTATTCGGTGTGAATTCCAGGAATTCCGAGCGGACTGAACGGACTTGCGTTCATGCATAAAATCTAGTAATGAGCGTATGGAAAATATGTATATTAGGATAAGCGAGATTGAGAAACGTATCGCGATACCATCAGAACCTACGGATATATCCCCGCTGAATGATGTAATAAATCAACTTAAGCAGAACTTGAACCACATGGACCAGGAACTACTCGCAAGTGACATTGATATAAGCAACCGTTGTCATGCAGGTGCCAGTAAATTGGGTATTGGTCTGACTTAGCAACATATCGTAAGTGCCGACCGAATGGGAGCGCGCCATATAACTGCGACGAGCGCCGAAGGTGCCGTGCCCATCCGCCCGCGTCCCATCGCGGTACCTCTCGCTCGGCGTGACGTACGAGATGAAATTCTCCGGAATGCTCGTGTCAGGCGGGGTGCTACTACAGAGGACTTCGATACATCCTCATCTCCACGTCCGTTCTATGTCAACGAGCGCCTTACATAATATAACCGTGCATTATTTCAAAAAGCGCGGGAAATGGGTCGCCGTCTGGGCTGGAGGTTTGTATGGTCACGTCGAGGGCGTATTTACGCCAGGAAGGATACCGCAAGGCCCTTTCATGTGCTGCGCCGTGAAACTGATCTCAATACAATTTTTGTACAGATGGACAACTTTATAACCGTTGCTAACTGTATTAAATGTAAAAATAAATATGTCTTGGTTGTTGTAATGTTACCGAGCAGAAATCTAATTTTAGCTTTACTATATTTTTCTTATATTATTTTAGTTGTAACACCTATATTTGAAATTTATATAGGTATATCCTTTTCCCATCAATTATAAGAATTGGTTAAATTGTTTTAGCAATGATCGTTTAAATGAAATCAAACTACACTATTATCCGACAAATATCTTAAGTCTAATATGTACATTACAATATTCTAATAAAATACATTGTACAATATTTATTCTGTATATAATAATACAATTTATATGTATAATATAGCATCACAGCGTCATTTTACACTTAAACATATTACTGTATATTATCACAATTTTCATATATTATTTCAGATATATCAATATTTCATATCACTCATTCCATAATGACTCGACATAAATTTTTTAAATTTAGGTTTTTCAATGTAGGATATTTAGGGACTAAACACGATGAGTTTTTGCTGGCTATGAGTCGCCACTCGGTCGACATCATGGCCATTAATGAGACATGGTTGCGTGCGGGCAAGGAGGGCGGGCGCCCGTAGTTCCTGGCTACTGGCTACGGCACACGCCGCGTTCGGCGGCGGGGTCGGATTTTACATCAGAGTAGAAGTTAATGCTCGCGCGCGGGCGCATCCCGTCCATCCCTCAGTAGAACAAATGTGGTTGACATTACATTTAAATAATAAACGAATACTTATCGGTACGGCTCACCGACCGCCATGGCTCGATACGGACGTTTTCCTGGATGCTATTACGGATAACATAACCTCATTCGCTCATTGCGATAACCTAGTTCTTCTTGGAGATCTCAATATTAATTTGATATTTTGATTTGATGTCAATGACTGCAAATCAAAGAAGTTACTTGCCTTTTTTAAACGTTGTAGTCTGACTCAAATTATTAACACGCCTACACATTTTATAAATAACAGTCATACACTTATCGACATAATTTGTAAACAACTTGTTGAAATTACAAAAGAGGACCGAACTATTTTATCGTCACAGCCACTTGCAATACGTAGGGGTGTTCCTCAGAGCTCGATTCTTGGACCATTGCTGTTCATAATATATACGGCGGATATTGTTAAATGCATACATTACTGTCAGTGCCAATTATATTCAATTCAAATTCGAATTCAAAATATCTTTATTCATGTAGGTCTATTACAGAGTCTTATGATATGTCAAATCTACCGTCAGTTCGGAATGATATCGAGATGAGAAGAACTGACAAGAAACTCAGCTCGTATTTTTTTTCAAATAATAGTGGAACATGTTTATGATAAATACATTTATTAAAATTCAAATTTGGGAGAATAGAGTGACCACCAGCATATGGTATCGCAAAGAACAAAAAATTTAATCAGTGTTCACAACCTGAACAGACCAGTCCCCACAAGCAGCACCCGTTCACGAGTATGACGTATGAGCCAGCCATCATTGTACTCAACCATATTAGAGGGAGCACATCGACCCGCTGATATGCTGACGATTTGCAGCTGTATATATCATTTATGCCTAGTGAGACATCTACTGCTATTCAACATATAAATGAAGATCTAAATAGAATTTCTAAATGGTCAGAATTGAATTCACTGGTCTTAAACCCGCTAAAATCTCAATTTATAATTTTAGGTAGCAAGAAACAATTTACTAAAATAAAGTCAGATAAACCAGTTGTCAAAATATTGGACGAGACGATAGAACGTGTAGACACGTGTGTGCTTTGGGCTTAAAAATGAACCCGGGACTTCGGTTCGAGGATCATATTAATGACACTGTACAGAAATGTTTTTATAGGCTCAAAGTCCTGTATAAAATGCGCGATTATTTATCAGTGGAGCTACGTAAACGCTTAGTGGACTCACTGGTTTTGTCAAAATTAAATTAAGGAGATGTAGCATATGGACCATGTTTGTTATCAAGAACAGAACGTTTAATTCAAGGAGTCCAAAACGCTTGTACCCGCTTCTGTTTTAGAATACTGCCCAGAAGTCACATAACACCATATTTGAATAATAATGACATTCTCAAAATGACCGCTAGGAGAAATCTCCACCTCGCCACTTTGCTGTTCGGTATAATGGCATCCAATCAGCCTCATTATCTGTACCATAAATTAACCTGGAGGCAAAACTGTTACCAATACGTGATACGATTAAATGTCAATACACTTAAAATTCCAAGGCATAATACAGCTGCATTTAGGGGAAGTTTTAAATATGCCGCCACTCACTGCTGGAATAACATACCACCACCTATTCTAGATCTCAAATCAATTTACACTTTTAAACGACACGTAAAAAAATACCTTTTGCAAGTACAAAAATCAATCTAGGCAAAAATACATTACTACTTTATATATCTGTATCTTTATATACCCTCTCCTGTATCTCTTTTGTTTGACTGTATTTATATCTATTATCGCCTTGTCATTTGTGTACTATCTCTATTTTACCTAAATGTGTATTTTTGTATATTAATTTATATCAATTTATTATATAGTTAGTATTATATAGTATATCATATAATAAATCGTGTACAACACGGCAATACACCACCCCAGGTCTTGTGCTGAAAAACAGCGCTGCAGCGCTCCAGCCGCTGCAGCATTATCATGCCATATCATGCCATGCTCAGCACGGACCTATTCAGTAGATGCTTCGTCAGACATACACATGCACACACACGTAATTTGTGTACTGTTTTTTGTAATTGTCGCACTGTTTGTTATTCTTTTTTTTGTTTGTTTAATGTGTGTTTTAGTTTTTTCTTCTACTGAATAAATATATTTTCATTTCATTATGAAAATAGAATTGTAATAGAGTAGAATTTTTATATAGTTTCAATGAATTACATATACTATATATTATAATAAAATTTACTAGTTGATTTATGCATTAATATTTCTCACCTGATGTAACAACAATGATGTCATTTTTTGTAATTGTCTGTCCCACATCATCACCTGTCTGTGAGAGAGTACAGGACAAAGCGGTGTTGTTATCAAACTCGCCTAAATACATTTTAAGATGTATTGGATATTTATCAGTAGTGTAGTTGAACATTTCTGAAATAATAATATATATTAATAATAATATTCTAGAACAATTGACGTAACGCTAACCAATCCCAAACTAACAAGAGCTTGTGTTATGGGTACTAAACACCTGATACGTAAATACATGATTTTTATAAATAGGTACATACATAATATATATACATAGAAACACCCAGACCAATACAAACAATTGTACTTATAATACAAATTTTTGGCACCGTGCGTGGAATCGAACCAGTCTGAACCATCGGAAATAGAGAAGTGGGCTAAACTACTATACAACCGAGGCCGTAATAATTGTATATAAATAGATAATGTAGTGATAAGTCACATGTTGTGATAAGTCACAATAAATAATTAAATAAATGATTGGATTTCTTTTAATGTAATTGATGGCATGTCTCCTGGGGCATGTCAGCTTATTTGTCGTTGTAAGTAGGTAATACTGCCTAGAACTTATATATGCGATACTAGCTTTCATGTTTCTTGCGTTCAGTGGAATGGACGCATGACAATTGTTGCATTCACCATGATATCGATAAAGACAATGCCTCAGACTAACCAGTCAAGGGTAATAGTCATCTTATTAAGTATTTACAATATCTATAAATATCACATAGTAATTTTTAATATATGTATACCTGCATACGTTCCATAATTAAAATATTGAGACAGATGCACGGAACTTCCACTATTTTGTATATTTGCGCATGTATAATGTACACGTGACTTCTTCTTGATGTCAATTCTAGTATTAGTTTGTAATGGAGCTGCAATGAATTAATGCAATTTTAACTTGTAATTTATAAACATATTTTACTAGTGGCTAATCTCAATTATTACTCGCGAAAAAGAAAGTAATAATAGCATATATATATATATATATATATATATATATATATATATAAATAAGCTAGAAAGATGTTTTTGCACAGTTTCTGAGAAAACAACAAAAGCTATTCACAAACAAATACTAGGTGCATATATTATGTCGTATAATTAATATTTTTACATATATCTCTTACAAATATCTTTTTTGTATCTAAATATCGTGTAATATTTTATCTTCATGTCTATAATACTTATTTGTATGTATACATATTTTCTATGGACAAATTAGTTTGTTACTGAAACACGCAATAACGACTTTGATTTAATAATTAATTTAACAACAAGTTTTGAATAAAATTTGATAGTCCTATTCATGGATTGACAATAAGTCACGATCAGAAGTTAGTTATTAATAGTTACCATTTGGTCATCATTGACTTGCCTTTATGCCATTATTTGGGGTCAGCGCAGTATGTCCTGTTCTTCCACTGATCCCTATCAGGCATCATATCTGAGCTTACTCTCCTTTTATACATATCATCTTTTACATAATCCATCCATCTTTTTTAGTCGTCCTCTGCCTCTCCATACATCCACGGTCATGTTAAGTATTTACTTTCTTTAGGACATGGTTTTCGTTGCTCCTCATAATCTAGACACGCGGTAGCGTGTCAAGCCGAGTTTCAAGTAAGACAACTGGCGAGCAGCACCGTGTGTATATTTACACGAACCATTTGGAGCCACTTTTGACCCCCTCATAACTCAAAAACTCCTTCACATAAATCTGTCAAATTTAGTTCATATATTGAGACTTGCGAAATAAATATGTGTTCAAAATTTCATAAACATATCTCAAACGGTTATTTAGATATTAATGTCCAAATATCGTCATTTTTATCACTGATCAACTATAGATCAAAATTATATCCCACTTCCAGATGACCTAGGAAGTTCAAATTTTATATACGAAATATTACTGTAGCCTTCGCAAGTTCTAAACATGTTACTTATCGGTTCCTATTTTGTTATTAGTAGTAACTAGCAATCGAAAGTAATAATTGGTATATGAGAACTGGCCAAGTTAGACCTTAGGCTACAGTATATTATTCTAAGTTATAAGAAGAAATGATATTTTATATTGTTATAAATACATTTCAGGACAGACCATTGAACTTGGCACCCATTTACATAGATCTCACCTCTTTTGTCGTAGAAATCAACAATCAAGGCATATATCATAATATTAAATTCGGCTATCATTTCACATTTATGTGTTTGATGGGATACGTCCATACTAACTGAAACCTTGCAACTTGTCTTTAACTGGCGCAACATCAAACTTCCTCGTTTATATACATTATTACATATTCATTATTCTATCATTCCTGGTTACCCCTCTCGTCCATCTCAGCGTTCGTATTTCTGCTACATGTACGCATGTTCTTTCGTTCATCTCCATTACACCCCAACATTCAGATCATCCAGCACTAATTCTGTGCATTACATCACAATCTATTTTATTATTCTGAACAATTGCTAGCAGACTGGAAGCATTACATCATTATAAAATATGAAACTGGAGAGACTGCAAAAATTGCAGAACAGGTATTCACTTTTACTTTTGCTGCAAGCCAACATTCTCTAGTTTTTCTTGCCATCTTTCCAATCTACTCTGGATCTCGAGTCCGTCCTTTACCAACAAGCACAATAATGATTACCATTACGCTAATTGCGATTTGAAATGCTATATAACTTACCTTCCGTTGTAAGCGGCTGAGATTCATTTTGAACAAATTTATAAACTACATCTAATTTTCTAAAACATTCAAATACATTTGCCTCTTTAAAAGTACAGCTTAAACTGAAACAGTAAAGTTTTGTGTTTTTTTCCGCTTCTGTTAATGTAATATTCATAGAAATAGAACCAATTGAGTTTTGTCGTCTTACATGGTTTATAATTTTATGGTTTACTGAAAATAAAAGATACATTAAGTATTAATAAAAAAGTTTTTACAATCATATTTTTTTTTATTAAACAATTTGACCGTTATTCGAAACCCAATAAAACATGAGAGTAGCGAATCCGTTTCCGCTTTCTGAGAATATAGTGCCTATCTCTTCTGACTAATATTTCTGTCCCTTTCTCTCTTTTCCCTACCACTGCCACCACTAGCGCCACCTAGCGAGCTAAGTTTAGAGGGAGCGTTATTTTATTGTACATTGGGGTTAAGTTTCCCGTTGAGTCCAGTCGGCAGTAACTAATAACTCGACGACTCCAGTTAGTGCCTTGAAATATTGGATCGTGTACTTAAAATAAGTAAGAACCTACCCACATATTTTATTTTTATTTTAGTAATCACAGTTACGGCTTATTTCAGATATATTAATCAGTAAACCGTGTACAATTCTGTACCTACCCACAAGTTTTATTATTTTAGGTGTATTAATAATTACAAGTGTGTAAATTTGGTTTTCTAACCGCTGGCCGCCCGCAGGTTGTTGGGTCCCCGAACCCAGGGATTACGTAATCTCCGCCCTGGGAGGCTGAGCCACCGCTTGCGCATAATCCCTGGTGTAGTAGTCGTGCCGGAGGAGGAGACCGGAGTGGACCCGGCTGCTACACCAGTGGGGGGACCAGGGGCCCTTCCGGCCGCCGTGCCACCAAATCGCTCAACCTGTGCAATGCTGGGGTGTGTTGACGCACCTTTTTGTCCTTTCTAATACCAGAGCAACCGTTCCCCTTTTAACCTTTAAAAAAAACACCAAAAAAAAAAATGACCAGAAACAAAGGAAGGAAGTTTGGTACATCAGCGGCACCCCAATCCACTTTCAATATGGATTTCTGTAACATCAGGGGACTTCACGGAAACATCAATGCGGTCCACCAACACCTTGAGACCGCCAAGCCGACCCTTTTATTCCTTACGGAGACCCAGATATCCTCTCCGGCTGATACATCATACCTACTATACCCCGGGTATAAACTCGAGCACAAATTTGTACGTCGTGCCGGGGTATGTTTGTATGTCCGGGGGGATATCTGCTGTCGCCGTCTTGGTCTAGAAGACAAAGACCTGTCTGTTCTATGGGTACGTGTACGTGGGTATGTGAGATCAGGGTGACTACACCGGCATCTATGCGTGTACAAGCACGAATAGATGCCGGTGTAGTCCGGTGTGGTCTCATAGCGGTGACGAGGATACGACTCGACTGTTTGAGCACCTTCAATTGACGTCTGATAAAGTTCTTGAGCAGTATCCCTCCGCGAGGTTAGTGATACTTGGAGACTTCAATGCCCATCACACCGAGTGGCTCCGTTCTCGGCTCACCGACCACGCGGGGAGAAATGCTCACGAGTTTGCTCTGGCATATGGATTCTCTCAACTGGTGCCTTCTCCAACGAGAATACCAGATATTGAGACCCATACGAGCTCCTTACTTGACCTTCTGCTGGCTACACATCCGGACGGATATTCAGTGACCGTGGAGGCACCAATTGGTTCTTCAGATCACTGTCTTATCCGATCCCAGGTACCGTGCACAAGTCCTGCCACATCCCGACCTCCGTGTCAACGTCGCATGTGGCATTACAAGTCAGCAGATTGGGATAGATTGCGAGAATTCTACGCATCGTACCCATGGAAGCAGTACTGCTTTGCATCAGAAGACGTCAATATCTGTACAGCCGCCGTCACTGAAGTCATACTTGCGGGTATGGAATACTTTATTCCAAACTTTCTTGTTGCTTCAGGGGCGAAAAAGCGACCGTGGTTTAATAGGTCTTGCAGACAAGCCAGACAGGCTAAACAAACTGCTTTTCAGACTTGAACCACGGCTCGTTCTAACAATGATATTGGCGTATCTGATGCGAGGCGGAATTTAAATGCTGCATCTAGGTTTAGTAAGAGGGCAATTGCTAGAGCCAAATTCGACTTCGTCAGCAAAATTGGAGAGCGACTAGCACGACATCCTTCTGGAAGTCGTGCCTTTTGGTCGCTTGCCAAAGCTGCCGAAGGTAACTTTTGTCAGTCGTCCTTACCACCACTACGGAAGCCGGATGATAACTTGGCACTCAGTGCAAAAGAGAAGGCCGATTTGTTGTGCGCTCTTTTTGCCTCAAATTTGACTCTAGAAGCTAGGGACACCATACCTACTACCATCCCATGGTGTGGTAGCTCTATGCCGGAAATATCCGTAACGCAACGGAGAGTCCGGCGCGAGTTACTGTCTCTTGATGTCAACAAGTCGAATGGGCCAGACGGCATACCGGCATTGGTATTAAAGAAGTGTGCTCCTGAGTCGTGTCCTGTACTCACGCGCCTCTTCGCGTTTTCATACTCCTCTGGGCAATTTCCGCAATCATGGAAGACCACCCTTGTGCACCCTGTGCCAAAAAAGGGCGACAGATCAAACCCATCGAACTACAGGCCTATCGCTGTTGCATCTCTACTCTCCAAGGTGATGGAGCGTGTAATTAATACACAGCTCCTTGGATACCTAGAAGATCACGATCTATTGAGCGATCGTCAATATGGTTTTCGCCATAATCGCTCAACGGGTGATCTTTTAGCGTATCTCACACACCGCTGGGCTCTTGCCATAGAGAGTAAAGGTGAGGCGTTGGCAGTCGGCCTTGACATAGCGAAGGCATTCGATCGGGTTTGGCATCAAGGTCTTCTATCGAAATTGCCCTCGTACGGAATACCAGAGGGATTATGCAAATGGGTCGCTAGTTTTTTGTCTGGCAGATGCATCAAAACCGTGGTAGACGGTGATTGCTCCGATAGCATGGACATTAACGCTGGCGTCCCGCAAGGCTCTGTTCTCTCCCCAACACTGTTTTTGCTGCATATCAATGATCTGTTAACCACAGTTAACCTTCATTGCTATGCGGATGACAGTACCGGGGACGCATATTACACGGGCCGTGCTAATATCCCTCTTTCCATTGTGGAGGCAAAACGCGAACAGCTTGTGTCTGAAATCGAGAGTACTCTTACCAGAGTCTCCGATTGGGGGCGACTGAACTTAGTTCAATTCAATCCTACTAAGATACAAGCCTGCGCGTTCACCGCTAAGAAAACCCCTTTTGCTGTGGCTCCTCAATTCCAGAACACGTCCGTTACCATCTCTAAGAGTATTGGGATTCTCGGTGTCGACATCTCTAGTACTGTTGAGTTCCGCAGTCACCTGGAAGAAAAGGTAAAGCTGGCGTCCAAAAAGCTCGGTGTGCTCAATAGAATAGAATAGAAAATCATTTATTCAAATAAACTTACATTGAAGCACTTTTGAATAGTCATAACATTTTTTTTTAATCTACCGCTTATTCGGAATGCTGTCTCATCACAAGAAGAACAAGCAAGAAACTTGTGTGTTGCTCTTTTAAATAATTTATTCTTACTTACAATTTAAGTTTAAGTGTGTGAATACAAATAGAGCGACAATAGAGCGAGGCGGTACTGCGTCACTGCGGACCAGAGACTTCTCTTATATAAGTCACAGGTTCGGCCGCACATGGAGTACTGCTCTCATCTTTGGGCGGGAGCACCTGGATACCAGCTCGGTCCTTTTGACTCGGTTCAGAGACGTGCTATGAGAATTGTCGATGATCCCAATCTCTCTCGCGGTATCGAGCCACTCAGCTTGAGGCGAGACTTCGCCTCGCTTTGTGTGTTCTACCGATTATACAACGGACTGTGTTCTGAGGAATTGTTCGACATGATGCCGACAGCCACCGCACCGCTCGCCATCGACAGGGAATTCATCCCCACACACTGGAACCTAAGTGGTCCCGAACAGTGCGGTTTCAGAGGAGTTTCCTCCCGCGTACACTTAGAATGTGGAATGAACTTCCTGCCGAGGTTTTCCCACGAGACTACAGCATGGAGTTTTTCAAGAAGGGTATATTAAGGTTTCTTAAGAATCGGCAACGCGCAAGTGATACCCCTGGTGTTTCAGGCGTTCATAGGCTACGGTAACCATTTACCATCAGATGGGCCGTATGCTTGATTGCCACCATAGTAGTATAAAAAAAAAAAATTATATATCTATTTCTCTAGTGGACTTAAACGGCATTACCGTTCGAAATAAAATATTATAATGGATAATCCGATTCCATCCACTAGTAAAGGTAACGAAGAAGCTTCAAATGAACCTGAATGGTAAATCGAAACATAAAAGAAAAACTGTGAATGGTAAATCGAAACATAAAAGAAAAACACAAAGATTATCTGAATCATCTGATAGTAATAGCTCGTCAGAGGATTCGAGCTCTTCTTCGCCATGCAGTGATTGTAAGGGTCGGAAATCACGCAAAACAAAACGAAGGAAGAAGAATAATAACCGTAAGTTTGATCAAGTATTTAACGAAATTTCATGCAAGGCATGCGATAATCAACATAGAAGTCGCTACGCACTCATTATTAATGTAATAAGATAATATTGTCAGTGCTATAGATTTAAAGTTTTTCTATAAAAACATTATTATCGTTAACGAATTCTTCAATTTTATAGTAAGCTTTTTTGCAAAGGAACTGTTTTATTTGACATTTAAATCTTTTTTCTGGCAGATTTATAACAGACTCTGGTATTTTATTGTAAAACCTTACGCAATTGCCATAAAACGAATTACTAACTTTAGCCAAACGACATTTAGGTAAAATCAGTTTGTTATTGTTACGTAAGCTTTTATTAGTGCAATCACTAACTCTTTTGAAACTGTCTATATTCCTTCTGGCATAGATGATATTTTCATAAATGTATTGAGAAGCAACGGTGAGGATTTTTGATTCCTTAAAACACTCTCGCAATGACTCCCTGGAACCCATACCATAAATGGAGCGAATGGCCCTCTTTTGTAAAGTAAATATTGTATTTATATCAGCTGCTTTGCCCCATAACAAAATACCATACGACATAATGCTATGGAAATAGCTAAAATAGACAAGTTTAGCCGTTGCCACGTCTGTTA